GCCAAACGTCGATCTACACCTCACCATTCACTCTGATATCCCATCATTTACTTTCTCAACCAAAAGTAAAAACTGATCTCTTTGTCTTCCATTATCCTTAGTCGGTTTCTCTAAAACTGGTCATCCTGGAATCATGTATGCCTCTGGATCGAGAGAAGACGTGGAAGAATGGGTGAGGGAAGTCAAAAGTTGGAATTGGCTGGCTTTGCGTGTGAGAGTAAGTGTGGAGCCTATCCCTGTATCACCCGGTGACTCCAATGCGGACCAGGAGGAAAGCCCGCAATTGCAAAGAGACCTAGAAGACGAGCAGGAGAATCTGTCATCGAATAACCGGGGGGATGCTATACAGGAAACGCAGAGACTCAAGGGAGCGAAAGATGGAGCGAGGGGAGGGAAGGGAAGAGGAGAATGGACAGAGGTAGAGAAGATTGGGGACGCTATAGAATGGATGAGAGTGAGAGGAAGGGAGAAGATGTTATGGGACGTCGGGGTGGGTACAGGTGCTGTCAAGTGATCAAGTGAGTATCTCTCCAGGTTGTCTCTCGGGTTGAAAGAAGTGTTGTAAGCATTTTGAGCACACTGACTGACCTCTCGTATGATCTTTGTGATATTTGACATGACTTAGAAAGAAGGAGTGACGACGACCACAGGCGGCCCGTGCGCTACACTACTTAACCCTAAACATTTGCCACTCACCTAATCCACTCATCCATCATCTACTTTTCCATCTGACTTTACTCTTCTCACATCTACTGACAGGATGGAATCGCACACAGGCCAGACGCACGACCAACTGTACGCATGGGCTATTGCGAATTTACGTCAGTATCCATCCAGGCGACCTTTCAAACAGTACACCGAGAACCTGGCGGCTCAAGTTAGTGACTTCTCGTCCCTTCGCTTTGTCCGATAAAGTTGATCTTCAGAATCTTCAAAGGTTACATCTATCGCCTGACCAGCACCTTCAACTGCTTGCAGACCTCGAAGATCCGTTCATCGCATTCCGACAAGATGCCGAACGTATCGTACCCCAACACATGAGAGATAAAGTGTGGCAAGCACCCCCTCAGGTGAGTAGAGAAGCGAAGGAGCTCGTTGTGAAAGGATTCAAGCTATGGAAGAGTATCGAAGAGATGGATTTGGAGAGGAAGGTGTTGGAATCGCCCGTGGGTGAGCTGCCACAGCGTTTCGTAGAGTGACAGCTCACGATAAGTACCACCACAGCTATCACCTTTTCGTCCATTCTCCCCATTTCTGACCATGACCAGTGTCAAAGCTACGCCCACACCTAACCCCTCTCGACCACGTCCTGTACCTACCACAATGAAACAAATCATCCGCGATGGGCCATATCGTTGTGTCTACCCCTTAACTATCACCCCTTTTCCTATCGAGAGAGTGGACGAGAATGAAGTCCTGTAAGCGACTCTAACATTGGGTCTATCGTATCAAAGCTGACAAAAAGTGGTCTGCGCATGACGATCTCTCCTGATGTGAGGGAGGAAGTGGTGAATCTCAAGAGGCGCTGGACTGAACAGATGAAGAAAGAAGTTATGAGACCTAAGGAGGAGCTGCATAAACGATCGATGTGGGACGTATGGGCAAGAGATGATGACATGGCTGTCAAAGTGAGCCCATGTGTCCATAATATCTTAGTTGACAGTTGATGGTTGTAGGCCTCAATTCACAGACCGATATCCCCCCCTCTCTTCCCTTTTGGTTCCGTTCTTCATAATCAGAAAAAGGGACTAACGAATTATACGGCGCTTCTCAAGTCTGTCAAACTTGACATTGTACCAATCGACCCCACTCATGTCGCATCGGGAGATGCCATTCCTCGACCTACCAGTGTTCTGCAACATAGTGGGATGATAGACATGAAGGACGACCCCCTCTCTCTGTCACTACTAGATAGTTTCGGTAAGCTATTTCTCTTGCTTCGAGGAAAACAAGATTAATCTTAGATTGCCCGCCATTCGAACCACTTACCCCGACCACAAAAGCTTCCAGACCATCAGATCGATCGACTCGAGGTGGACCACATGACGAGTTCATAGTCTCACATGACCAACATATTCGACAGCGGCTTGAGATACAGGCGGAAAGGTGGCTGGGTCATCGAACGGGTAGGTTCAGGTCGTTCTCGCAAGAAGCTACTGATGATCAGAACAGCTGTTACAGTCATTCTGGCCGAACTCTTCAATGTGAGTATCTAAAATAGCCTTTTCCGGACTGACGATCAGTCACCTCTCACACGAGTCTCCTTGGAACGGCTCACGCCATTCCAAAAATCCGATTTTGAATTCACTTTCAATTCGGAAATCCGAACCAGGCCCATCAACTTATGATATGAAGGTTGATGGTGAACCTCTATTTTACCCTGCCTCGTCCTCTTCCGGTCCCCATTGGTTCGATACAATCCCTGTTGAGCCCCCGACTCCTCAGGCGCCAGAAGTCACCGATCCGCCAGAGCCATCTTCTCCGTCGTCAGACTTGCAGTGGAGATCGCGTCCGTCTAGTAAAACATCCCGGTACTTTCCCTCAACAAATGCACCCAACATCGTGCTTCGACCCATATCGACTTTACTTGTTTCCCGATCTAAAACCACGAGACCCGAACGACATGACACTACCATTCCACTCGTACCTCCTCTTCGGACATCGTCGAATGACTCGACACTGGTAAGTCAGATCAAAGATGCTTCCATGGGAATTGTGACTACTGCAACAACCCGGTACAAGAGGAGTCGGACGGAGGAACTGGTCTCACGGGTACAACGTCGACGACTTAATCAACGCAAGTTGCGCCCTAGGACAGAGGAGATACTTGCTGATGGCTACGACATAGGCGAACCATCTGAAGCTCGCCTCCCTACCACTTCTCGCACCATCATCCAGGACCACCCCCAATCTCGTTACGCTCCTATCAGCCCATCTAAATCTGTGGCGACTTCTCAACTCCAGACACCGCCCAAATCCTTGAACCAAAGTCACAAACTGCAAAGTGCCGGCGGACGAAAGATGAAGACAACGCACGTTGTAAAAGAGGTTCAACGCGACAAATCAGACGACAGCTTACGGCAATTGGTCATGACATGCGATTCAAAAGCTCAAGGGGGTCGAATGAGAACCGAAATGGATGATCCCTGTTCGGATCTCCTCACCTTATCTGACCATCTGACCCTGATTGGTCGTCATGATCTCGTCGAATTGCCTCGGCGCTCACCATCCCCTAAGGTACAACCCACTCAAGTTTCCTCCAGTCCTGCTGTCAAATCAAGAGCGTGGAAAAGAGATCCCTCACTGCGCAATCCTGCATGGTACGAAAAAGTTGTCACTCATCCTCAAATCCTGAAACAGCCATTGAAGGTACTGGCCAATATTGAAATGTTCACTCACCGTCCTCTGACCCGTGCTCTCAAGTCAAGTCAATTCCAATTGATCGAACGTGATGGTCCTATACAAGGTGCCGACCTCATCCTGTCTCCTATGACCGCTATTATCTTTCGTAAATTGTCAAATATCGATAAAGACCTACGAGGATTGATTAACAATATCAATACTTGTATATTGATGTATCGACGTGTGATAGTGATATTTGAAGTGATCCCTTATTCTCATTCTCAAACCTATGATCCTGATGAAGACATACCTGATCCTCTTACACCTTGTGTCAAGAATACCTTACCGCAATTGAAACGACGATTAGCAGTTTTGGAGATGGAAGATTATGTCATTGGGAAACCTGAACTGGTTTTTGTGGATGGAGGAGTTGGACAAGTGATCAATCTTTTGAGTCATTTGGTAGAAGAAGATAACGAAAGGTTGGAAGGAGAGGAGATGGGGGATAGGTCATGGTTAGAGAATGATACCGTGAGTGACATCACTTCAAGTTGTTCATGTCTACGAAAGCTGACGAGTAGAATGAAGAAGAAAACATGTTGGTAGAAGAATATGGAATCAACACGTACGCCGCTTTGTATATCCTTCATCGGCTAGGATCGTTGAAAGCGTTTCTAAAACTGGACGAATCAAGTCGGTTGGAAGAGTTTGAAAATGTACTAGGGCTTCAAGTACTGGTATGTACCATGTCTCTACTTTGAGGGAATGTTGATATGCTGATGAAAAAGGAACGTTTTGATATCATCGTACAAAGCCGACATGGGGTACAACCGGGGGATAATACTCCTACTGTAGTAAAATGATTATGTAGCTCAATGTCTGTTATAATAACAGAGGGAAGGAGATATGACTTGATAAAGGAAACAATAAAAGAGTGAGCTCTATTACATACCGTACCAGAAGAAAAACAAAAACAGGGTATAAAAACTATATTAACTAATTGAAATACCAGAGAAATCAAATCCAACTTTTCACAAACCATCCTGATCGATATCCCAATCCGACATTCTCAATCTCCTACGTTATTTCCTCATCTTCTCTCCTCAGTCATGTCCTACTCAATCTTTACAACATCCACTAACGACGGAATAGCCTATGATTGGATCCACGAAGTATAAAGATAAATGATTATTGCCAACTCTTAGGTGTCCCATCATCTTCAAAACTACCAGTTGGATTCTTATAAGTTTTATCACTATGTCCATCTTCCGAGATAGGTGCGCTGATTTTCCCACCTCTCAAAGCGTCCAACACTCTAGTGGCGGGTCTTTGTCTTTTCGTCCCTGCCGAACCTGAAAACCAACTGACGTCATCTCTCCTTGCTTTACTCCTAGAATGACTTTTGGCAAGAGAACGAACGATGAGGACGAAGATGAAGAAAGCGACCAAAGCGGAGAAAACAACTACGAATCGAGCTGCAGGGTTCCAATGGAAATTGTATGGGGTGGTAAGGAGTGCGATTTGTTGAGGTGTGAGACCACCCATCATGGCTGCTTCGGCCGATGCGGAGGCTGCTGCTGCTGCGGCGGCGGCAGAGGCGGAAGCAGCAGCGGCGAGAGAGGCAGACGCAGTCGCTGCGGCCGTTGCGGGACTGATGAGTTAGTCGAATGATCTCATTATATCCTATCACTTTTGTTCGTATCACATATCCCGAGTAAAAATTCGATACGTTTTTGATCGAAACTGGGAGCAGGTATGATGGGTATAGTCTCATGTACAGAATGTACAGAACAGATTACTCCTTACACCAAAAGAATAATGTGTAATGATCAAAAGAAGCGGACCAGGAAGGGATGAATGTCCAAATGAATGAAAGTGAAACCAACTCACTCGACAAAAGCAGCAACAGAAGTAACATTAGCCACATCAAATCCGAATGCAGCTCCACCACCATCAACTAAATTGAATTTAATTTGATGTTTCTCATCGTCCAATCCATGAGTTTGGAAAAGAAGATCATGCGGGGTATCTTGAGCGGCATAAGATGTGTAAGTTCCAAGAGTAATATTATCGAGTGAAACTGAGAATCTGCCGTAAGAAGGACCGGTAGGACCATAAGCGTAAAAGTCGGTTCCTATTGGTATCAGTCTAGTTTCATTCTTTCTCTCTCATTCGTCATATACATTATTGTTCACTTGTATTCAAACGTCGGCGGGGAAGGGGAAGGGGATTCAACTTGTATTCTTGAAGTAAAAGACAAAGGAGGCTACTCTTCCTTCCACCAGCCCTCAAGAAATAATAAGGTGTTAGTAAGCTAACTGAGACAAAATATGCATTGTGATGGCTCAAAATGATGAATAAGACGAGGTGGGGAAGATGGATGGAAGAAAGAGAGAACAGTTCACTCACCAACAAAATCCATCGTCACTTCACTTCCCTGCGTCGTAGTCCACGAAACACTTTGATTCCAGAAATTTCCCAACAAAGGTTGCATGACAGCTACTTGCGTAGCGTTGATATATTCGTTTGCACCCCCATTCCTAAGCATGTTCCATCCTGTTGACAAGGACAGAGCAGGGGTTGACCATTGAGAATCGTCTATCGTGTAGTTTTTAGGCCTATCAATTAGACGACCATACTTCTCTCCGTTTCAAAATGTAAACTCACATTTTGACACCTTGCACAAGAGGTACGATGAAGTATATTCAAAGTGCTCTCTGATGGTTTCCGTCGAGGTATCTTGAGGACTTGATAGATAGATGTGGTGAACAAACAGAGAATAACTCGATGATTAAGAAAGAAGAAAAGATGGAAGAAAGGGATATCTTGTGAGAAAGCAAGGGGTGGGAGTAAGTGTGGGTGAGGGACTTGAGCGGGTCAATGCGGGATACTTTTTCAAGTCTCAAAGGTCAATTTCAGTCAAAGTCTGCCATTCGAAGCGACGAGTACGATATTTCTCCCGGGTCAGTCAAAGTCGAGAGGTTTGTCAAAGTCCCTTTAGTGTTAAAAGGTGCCATTAGTATCCAAAGGATCCCACTTTTCTCCTGATTTGCCCCATGTCAGCTTTACATCACAGGTGAATGCCGAGGGTAGGTGAATGGGGAGAATCCAAAGCATTGCAATATGACATGACACCATGGTCACACTTCAGATCGAGACTAAAATGAAAATGCCAAAGGACCAAAGGATATTCACTCTTGTATCACCGCATGTTGCCCTCGATGACTTTATACTGATGTTCTCCTCTCTCATGCCGCTTTTTTCCTCGTCGAGTTCGGTACAATCGTCGTGTATAACTGATGACCTTTGCGATGGGTCTTTCGGCAAAGCGTTCAAAAGTGAAACAAGCGATGATGTTGATAGCGGCGATGAGAAGGAGTTCAAACTTGAATCGAATGGGAAGAGATATGATGTCTAGTATTAGAGCGATGGGTGTTGAAGGGGAGAGGAGAACATAGGTGCTGAAAGCGCCCAGACTGACTAGACAGATGATGAGGGATGCTAGCATTTAGTAAAGCTCCAATCAAGGGAATAGGAACACAGTCAAAGGACATTTGAGAGGAAGGGGGACTTACGATTGGTATAGATTGGTTTGCGATATGGCGGACCGACGCTGAAGACCCCAGCGACAAGAATGTACTGGAAACATGAGACGAGGAAGAGAGTTGTGTTTTCATAATTAAAAGTTTCGAGTTTATCATCGTTCACATCGGGGGATTTGTACCTGGTATCGTCAGTCTACCAGCTCCTTTACAACGTCTCGACGCTGCTCAAGTCCCATTTCGATACAGCACAACTTAGGAAACGTGCCGTGATCCAAGAGATGCGCCAAGAGGCAAGACGAAAACTTACCAAGACTGACGTCTCACCCAGAGAAAGACAAACATCTGTATAGCGAAATTGATCAGGATCTGTCCAACAATACTGGTCAAGACCTTTTTCGACACAAGACTTGCTGTAGGTCGTTTTGGATGAATTTTTGGATAAGGCAACGTTCTTCCCACTTGACATCAGTCTTAGTTCTATAATCACAAGGGAGGACGTACTCGTTACAGCTATAGGGATGATCACGAATAGATCTATGTAAAGGAATCTGACTGTCAACGAACGCTTCCATAATAGGATTTCTCACTCACTGGAAGTCGCCCAAGCTAGAGGCGAAAGAATATAGCTACCTTTTTAGCATCCTACATTTTGGTCTTAAAGAGGAACACGTACAAGTGTGACCGTAGTGAATTGGATCATAGAGTATAACGCCCTGTTCATTAGCGAGAGCGATGCAGAGGACGGCACAAACGTACATGTATTTGAAACAACTAAAACTAGTAACGAGGGCAGCTCGACCTTCTTTGATCACTTCGACCATACAGGAAATGTCAGGAATACGACTGGTGAAAGGTGCAGCGACAGAGGCTTCCGCTTCGGAAAGACTGACGCCTACGTCGGCAGCTTTAAGAGCTCCGCAATCGTTGGCTCCATCACCGCAGAAAGCCACTGTATATCCTAGAGCCTGAAGTCGTTCGACCAACTCTGCTTTTTCGTCTGGAGACATTCGAGCGAAAACCACACCTTTGACCAACATCTGGGGGTCAGCTAAACTTTCTTCCTACAGCACAACACCCTAAAGATTTGATGGTACGTAGGAAGAGGAAGGAGGAAGGAGAAACAAGGTAACACTAACACGTTCCATCGTCTCAATCTCTGTATAATCCAACATCCATCTGAATACATCACCCGTCAAAGCCAACTGATAATCACTCGTCTCCTCCCCCACATCCAAAACCCTTTCCATATTCACAACCGGCTTGAGTGTAAGTTCGTCCAATTTCAAATTATCGTCATCCACACTTGACCAATCAAGTCTAGCCCCTTCAGTGGTTCCAGTACCTTGTAAAAAGGTCGGTATGTATACACTGGCTGAATGGGAAACCAATCCACATTCCCTAGCTACGCTGATAGCCGTGCGGACGTTATCTCCAGTGACCATTCTACAAGCCAAATGAGCAGCTCGAAGGGTATGTATCGCAGGTGCTGTTCCAGGTTTTAGTTTGTTTTCGAATACGATGAACCCCAAAAATTGAAGATCGTTTTCAGCCACTTCGCGACGCATGCGTTGAGCTTTCAGCCACGTAAGACCCTCGATGGATTTGCCAGCGATGGCGATGACACGGAAGCCATTACGAGTGTAATACGATAGCATGTCTTCATAATCGATAGGAAAAGATGACGGGTCACAGATTTCAGGCATGACTTCTGGGGCACCTTTGACGTAAACTTCCATCGACGTGGATTTTAGTCTTTTGACAATCACACTCATTCGTCGTAATGCTGAGACAAAGTCAAATGTTCTAATGACACCCAATTCGAGGAAATGAGCATGTTTGGAACCTGGCCGTAGAGCGTCTTCGACGTGCCATTGATCCGTTCCAGGGGGTCGTACGACTGTCTGTACCAGAGTCTGTGGTCGTTCAACTCCACCTTTAGCAGTAACAGGTCTCGATTGTCCCTCGTCCAAAGTCCAACCAGTGTACGAGAACATTTTGATGTCGAGTGGATCGCCGATCATCTCTCCATCGATGAGTTTCAAAGAATGACAAGTCGCAAGAGCGTGAAGTAGTGGAGTCTTGCCATTAGATCCTCCTGTTTGAGGTACCTCGGTGATATCGCTGTGTAACTCGGAGAACCGTTGATCTTCTCGATCGATGGTTCGTACGCCGAGAACGTCAAGACCATCTTCTGTCAACGTACCAGTCTTGTCAAAACATATGACGTTGATTTTGCCCCCGATGTTGACTCTGTTGGGAGAGATGCAGAATATACCACTTTTTCTGAGTCGCTCAATAGCAAAAGTGGTACCAATTGTGAGAGTGGCAGGGAGTGCGGGAGGAACGACGATGGTGATGAGGTCGAGTGCGCGAAGTAGGATGGTATGCCAATGAATGCCCATACGAACGAACTGTACAGCCGAAACGGCAAATCCAAGACCGGCAATGATCGCCAATACGCCGATGAAGTTCATTGAATCGCGGTAGAACTTGAACCCCATGGGTTTGGGGAAAAGCATCGACCGGATCAAGGCGCCCTTGGTGGTGTTGAAGCCAGTACGAGTGACCATAGCTAATGCTACGGGTTCATCGCTTGGAGGAGCCCACGGCGGCCTGGCTCCAGCGCGTACGCGTATTATCTTGGTTCCGGAGAAAAGGTAGTGTTTTGCGAGATCAGGGTTGACTTCCGAGCTCCCCTGTTTGGCTTCTTTCGACATGGATCGGAGAGCTTCGTCTTTGACGGGGATCTTGCTAACGGGAACAGATTCGCCAGTGAGCATTGATTCGTTCACTATGGCGTCTCCGCAAAGAAGGACGGCATCGCAGGGGAAGACGGTGAGGTTGGTATCGGAAGCATCAAAGATATCCCCCGGTACCATGTCCACACAATCTCTGATAGTCCCTAGTTCGATCAGCCCCAAGACCAAGATGCAGACTCATCCACTCACATTCACCATTGACAAACACCTTGACGTCGCAATGGAAACGAGACATTTCTCTCATCCTCTCGATTGTTCGCTTCGTCTCAACCAGTGTACCCAAGATGCTTGTTATGCTGATGAGAGCAATAGCAAAGGCATAGTAGTAATAGTCGTCGATCGACCACAGAAGTATGGAAGCGATTTGAAAAACATAGAAGGGATGAAGGACCTACAGGTCAGCATAACACGAAGGAAATAGGGGAAGGCTTACTTCATCCACTAAAAGACCTGGTATAGACTTTGCGGCAATGTCAATGATGTTGTCACCCGTCAACAAACGGCGTTGTTGCCTAGTGTTGCTATCTAGACCTTGCGCGACTACCCGAGCAGCGGTCCACCGAGGGTCTCGCCAATCTCGAATCATTGACCACTGCCCAGAGTACGGCTCTAGTGCAAAACGAGTGTAACGATATTCCATGATTTTCAAGAATCCCATCGTTTCTTCCCAAGTCGTTCGTCCTGGCTCTACATCTGGGATGAGATCCTTGGCGGCACCGACTCCACCAGGTGGTTCACCATGCAAAGTGTGAGAGGTGGAGGGGATGGGACTGCCGTTTGTCATTGGTTGCCCGCGGATAGACGGGGTTTTAGACGTGGTCGCGGTGAGTGTTTGCGGAAACACTGTGGATAAAGGATAAGGATAAGGAATAATCTGTAACGGCACAATGTGTAAATCTCCATAGGGTGTCTACTCGTTAGCTTGAGTGATTACATCTCATGGGGACACGGACCTCGACCATAAGCCAACTCCCTTCTCTAGCTTCATCGAAAGCGGTTTCCTTCCCGCAAAATCCCACCCATATCGATGGAATCCATCGTCCAAGCAGCCCAAGACCCCCAAATGTGAAGAAACACCCAGCCCACCATATAGCACTGCGTAACGGATCCGTCCTGTACCCTGTGAAGCGGATGGAGAGGTCTTCATCTGGAAGAAGGACCGTCTGCCGAGAGGGTACAGCAACGCTTGCAAAGTCTTTGGCCTCTGTCATATCTTGAGCTCGAGTAGGGTCACCGAAGATGCCATCGGTGGCGTTTGGGACGAGGGGTAGAGTAGGTGAATGAGGCCGTGATTGTGGAGGGAGTGACGTGTCGTCTGCCAGGGAAGATGTGTATCCTTCCTCTCCTGTCGGTCTGTCGGATGTTTTAGAGTCACTGTCTGTATCCTCATCTCTATAACCCCACGAATCTGCAGAACTGCTCGAGGGTGATCTTGTAGCGGAGCGATAAGAAGCTCGAGAAGACGGACGAGATCCTCGGGGCTCTTCATCCCCCTCTGGTCTGACGAAACCGATATACGAAGCAATCTTGGCCAGCGTCGTAGCTGGTCTTGCAGGACTGGTCGGTGTGTCTTGATCGTACTGCTCTGGTGGCCTGTCAACAGGCAATGAGAAATAATCTCCACTATTTCGTTGACCAGCGGGAGATCCACGGTTTCTTTTTTTGGATTGACTTCGACGTGGAGGTGGTACGCGAAGTGGATGTCTATGACCTGGACGGGTTTCAGGGCCGATTTCATGCGGTTCGTCTTCCAAATCGACAACGAAAACTCCGGAGGAAGGCGATGCCAGTCCAGCCTGTTGAGATGTCGTACGCCAGAATGCACCTGGAGGTCTAGATCCAGCGATGCTTGAACGACGAGACGTGGAAGAGGCTCGTCTCCTAGTGACAGAAGAAGGAAAGAAGTGATCTGCTAATCATCAGTAAAAGGCGAGGCTATGTCTAGGGTATGAATGGAAGGGAGTTTTGGGCGTACTTACCGTCATCGTCACTCCATTCTGATAGACTACCGACAAGAAGATCTGGAGGTCCCTGTTGTTGCTCTCTCGCACGTTCAATGGCTATCGCGTCCACCACCGCCTGAGGAGCATTCTCGGTGTAGTCATAATGAGAGGGGCCTGCTTCTATTCCCTCCGGCGGGGCTTTTGGAGGGAGAACAGGGACAGGATGGAAGGTGTCAGGTTTAGTGACGAGAGCAGGTGATTTGGAAGTAGGGATAGTGGAAATGCCTGGGGTAGGAGGGGATGACGGACCAGGCATGGTGCAAGAGGGGGAAAGGACGGGAGATGGTACTTAACGAAGGTAAGGAGGAGTGAGTTTTCGGCCTGGGCTTACTTTACTTTAATTACCCCTGATAGGCTTGCCCCCCGGGATTAATACATCCAATTAGTATATGATACAAATGTACGGTATTGAAATGCATTCAATAACCACTAAGTACTTAACTTTTCCTAATGTGGCGGCGGGATGCTACTAACGCACCATCAGGCAAGCTCCAATTCAATACCATCTATAGAAATCATCGTCCACATGATCCGTTTCTTCCTGTTTCATCGACGAGAGGGAGCCATTACAACTCTCTTTGGCTGGACTAAGCAAGGTTTCTATGCCAGGACCATACTTCTCCGAGTCGTAGAAGAGTCTGTCTGGCAGCACCATACGCACCCCTCCGATCCGTACAACTCGACCCGCACTTCAGTAGTCCCGTTGCAGTGCCTGTGTATCTCGCCCTCACATATCGCGCCAGTAGCCGATATCACGCCAGTTGTTGGAGTTAGCGGGTCCGGCGGAAAGCGGGGTGTGTGAGACGGTGGAGTGGATAAGTTGGGCTCCATTACTTCTGATTTCACTATTGGCCTATGTGGATTGGCCTCGCCGGTGTTGGAGGAGACGACGGCTCTTCCAACCACCTTTCGACATCCACCTCTTCCACTTTGACATTCACGGTGTCATTGCCCTCGACTGTCCCCTGCGACCTAGGATCCAAAGGTCCTATGTACCGATCTGCCACGGGTGATGGGTATGTCAGACAAACGTATCGATCGTCTTTCACCCGTGAATCATCCAGGGACAGGCTATGTTCTCGCTGGGGGGTGCAAAGGTAGGTTTGGTAATGTATTGTGTCGGGATCACCTCGACCGCTTGGACAATTATCCGGACATCCAAAGACGGTACAATTGGGTGTACTGGGTGTTACGATTGGCTCCATCGATCAAGTTGCAGATCCGTCAAGGGGCAGCTATGCGTTACTAACAGTGAGCGAGTTGTTGATAAGTAACTTACAAAGTAGTAGTTTGACACGAAGACATCTTGATGGTGTCAGGGCTGTGAACAAGGTCAGGCCGATCCTTTCTTCCCAAGAAGGCAAGTCGAACCTCGATGATAATCTATTCCTAAACTGAGTAAATGTCTGTTTCCCAATGAATGAATGAATGAATGAATGAATGAGTGAATGAATGAATGAATGATTGCCAAATGAAGAATGAAGGGAGGAAGATTGATTACTTACCCTTTATCCTTGATCAAGTCAGTAACCGTCTATGTAATAGGCTCGCGAAGCCTTCAGCAGCGTGGCTCTACAAAGGTAAGTTAGAGTAAGGGTGTAATGTAAGCCACGTGGTCGTCCTGCACTTAAAAGTTCGAGCATTTGCCACCTCGTTCCTTCTGAACATTTCGAAAACACCCACCCAAAATTTATATTCCCTCCTTCCCTCTCCTCTTTTCGTCCACTATTAAACATGCCAGATCTTAACGAACTCCTCAGATGGTCCATAGCTAATTCCACTTCCCATTCTTCTGATTCTTCTCAAGTCACACCAGATGAATCCCTAACTCTTCGTTTCAACCCCGCCAATCCGGATGTCCGAACCGAACAAAGAGGTCAAACAGGTCTATCGGCATTCCATCCTTCTGACCCTGGTGTCTCACCCGTACCTCCTATTCCACAACTACGGTCTGATTTGACTCCGAGATATGATCTTATATGGTTAACGATAGTGTGACGATGAGGATAGATGTCTTGCTGTGATGAGGGAAATGATTTGGATGAGCGTTAGAGGCATTGGACGATTTAGAAATGGTGAGTGTTTAAATCCCTACATCTTCCATTTTGATGTATCATCCGTTCTGAGGCTCTTCCTGCTTTTAGGGTGATGTTGCTGTCTGTGATCTGGTATAACTAACTACACATGGTTCAAGACGACAAAATCAGTGTGTATTGGAAATGGAATTATCAGAAGAAGGGCTGATGAATAGCTGGTAGAATCAATAGACAACGCCAATAATCTCGCCGTGTTGAAATTATGGGAACCTTTGTTATCGTTGTTGAAAGTACAAAACGAAGAGATTTTAGCTGCTACTTGTTGGATCATAGGAACTGCCGTTCAAAATAATATCAAAGCTCAAGCTGCTGTGAGTAATCTATTTCGTACCGTAAATCATCGTCATCCCCATGTCACATTCATCCTCATTCAATCATCTCATCAATCTCATCACCTGTCCTCTTTCTTCTAGGCTTTAAGTATATATCGACTCGATAGTTATCATCAGTCATTCTTTCCCGTGTCTATCTATTTTTGTGTCTAGTGGTAAATGCAAGCAATCAATGACTAAGCACCAGTTACATCTTCATACCCCACTTACTCCCATTTTATCTTTACTATCTCCATCCCATTCTCCCCAAACACGCGCCAGGGCAACTTACGCACTTTCCTCTTCACTCAAACATTGGCCATTAACACCCACAGCCCTTTCTTTGAATTCTGACGAAGGTTATCTCGCCATTTCTTCCGGTGTTCGAGACCTCGACGTTGGTGTACGACGAAAGATGGCTTTTCTGGTACATAATCTAGTCCTTTTACATGCGGAAGGATGGGATACGGAAGTTCCCGAAGATGTAGCGGCGCATATATTGGAAGGGAGACAAGGACAGGAAGATGTGATGGAGGGTTTATATAGAGCTGGTGTGTTTAAAGAGCTTTTAAATGTCTTAAAAGGTGGAAGAGAATCAACAAGCAAAGGTGAGGGTGAGGGTGAAGGGGATAAGGGAGAAATGGAATATGATGAATTTGCTTTGAGAGCGTTGGTCGGAGCTATCGAAATGGACGTTCTGACATCAGAGGAAAAGATGCAAGTGAAGGAAATATGGGAGAAATGGGGGAATGAAGGAAGGAAAGAGAGAGGGATAGAAAGTGCGGATGAGGAAAGTATAGGGAGGTTATTGTCATTGTAATATATTTAACAATGCAGGAACATGTATCTCGCATGGATAAATGAGCATCATGACTTGCACTCAGTCTGTACTAATTCCGAACCTATCACCAGTCGGCACTCCTACTCTCAATCCAAGACAAAAATGAGTCTTTGATAGGTTGTCAGTTTTCTCGATTTCTACCCATTGTGCTCTACTCGTTAATGTTCGGTTGGTCCTTCGTTCATGAACGATCTTAGGGTAAATTAGTCTACTTGAGGTAGATATCAACAAATTCAATTCGGCGAACCCGTCATAAAGCATGTAGCGAATGAAGATGATGCATATATGGATGAAGATGAACAAAGATATCATGACTAATGTTAACAAAATGGCTATTACCCCATGACATAATATAAACGCGAGAAGAAGAATCATCGTCGTTCCCTCAAGATATAAACTACAGTCAAAATCAACAACACTCCAAATCCAGCTATGAAAGCGAATAGTACGAGTACGTTTCGATAATAATGTTTTAGATCAAAACCGAATAAAGTGCTCATTATTAATTCTGCAGAAATTTGAATGGGTACACCACCTAGAGTATCCTGATTGTCAGAGAAATCCTCATCTCCTGTACATTCCGATAACGTAAGTCTAGGTTAGAATGTGTGTGTGAGACAGGTACGATCCGATTCACACAGGGAAATGTCGTGGTGAAAGGGGAAGAGAGACAGAGACGAAAACAGGACAGGATTTGAGTGAGTGCAAGGTGGCGAGTCTCACAGACAGGACGGTAGAGATCAAGGAACAGATTAGCAGAACATACTGTAAGACGGAGAAGATGAAGAATTCAGGAAGTGGGAACAAGGACTCACGATGATTTGTAATCCTGATCCTACTTCATTAACTGATAGAGCTTCAAGAGTGTATCCAAGTGTTGAAAAGTATCTCAACCATCTAAGTACTGGTGGTATTTGTTCGATGTTGACGAAGAATCTGGATTCATGAGCATCTTCATTCCTCAACACGACCAATGAAAATCCCGTAAAGCGTCGAGTACAACACTTTTACGATAAGTCCATCGCTCTTCACCTAAGTATCTACGCGAGGATCAAATCGGGGGAGGGATCAAGAAAGTTCCGAGCACTGACATGATGCAGAAAGCACAGATAGAATGTGAGTCATAGATGGTTGGTAGTTGAAAAATATAACACTTACCCAGCATAAGTCATGAGGAATAAGTTACACAACGAACTTAACAAAATTGCCACACCTCCATGTCTGAACAAACAAGCTAGTAAAAAGTTCTTTCAATGTCAATATCCGTTTCTCTGACAAAGAAAGAGATCACTTACCCAGAGTGTCATAGCGAGGGAAAATTCAACTAGGATAAGTAGGAATTTAAAGAATCTGGTGGCTTCGTGAGCTAGCCCGACCACTGTATGTCAGTATCCATCACCCCAGATGCATGTCTCAAGTTCGAAAGACGTGTCGAAACGTATTCCTCAGGAAGGGGTAGGATGACCATCGAATGACCCTGAACGAATGATGTGGTTGTCATCTCGCATCCGCTCAGAAATGTATCTAGATGTGACAAATTCGATTCTGAGCGAGACTGTAGGCAATCAAGTCTTGTCCTGCACGGAGGATCATGATGGGTGGCTTATGAGAAGGGGGAAAAGGGAGCTGGAGATGATATGATACAGATTGGAGAGCAAAGACATACTGAAATACACGATGACGCCCACGATGATGGTCGGTACCAATCGAAGTGGTATCAGATCAGAAATGATTCTTGACAATAACCAAGCTTGTGATCTTTTCCGTTAGCTAAAGCTTGGTCTGAACAGTATAGCTCACGTATAGAAACCTCCAGATCTTTCACGTAAGAACAATCCTCGGACTTCGACAAGATTATATAACGCACTGAGATCAGTACTCAGTACACCAGTTGTCAACTTGAGTTTTTTGATGCACATTGTGATCATTCAATCACAGGTTTTGTATCATATTTGACTTGCCCTCATCTTCTGGGGGTGAAAAGATTTATGAAGCTGTACCAGTCCAGTAAGGTATAAGACTCGAAGGTAGGTGTGATCTCAAATGGATAAGCGGGATAGACGGCATAGAACGAAGGAGGATCGATCAGTGATGAGAAGGAATTCGAAACATACCTCAAAGACGAAAAAGCAATCAACGATCCTAAAAAGAATAAACTTCCTATCCGATTTTGAAACCCAGCTATGGTTAAAGATACTTTGTAATACAACCCTCCTGCGAAAACGCCCAATATGCAGGCGAGGGAGATATGGGCGATTAAAAGTGTTTTGTCCCTTTCATCAGTACCGACATCATCTCCTTCAATTTCTCTTGGTCTCCCTCCCCTCCACACCCTCATTGGTCACTCCCACTGTCCTCCTCAGGGCGGTGGCGGTACTTTCGACACCTGAACATGAGAGCATGGAACGATGAAGAGTTACGATCAGGACTCCAAAACTTCTTCTTGAAGTTCCAAGGTTATACCACACAAGATCGAGGAAGCCAGATGAAAACCATAGGGGATCATTGCAAGAATAAGAACATGAAGTCGGTTAACACTCACCTTTTTAGATTTTTCCATTCTCTCCCACTTAAAACCTCTATCTGAGTCAAGAAACTCGTTGCGCAATGTTCTTCCGGCCACCATCTTCTCTTCCTCTTGTCTCCTATCGGTTCCAAGTTCATCATATCTTTCTCTTCTCTTGTTCTGACAGACGGTGTCGTGTCTCCTTTCTCCAACCGTACTTCATTCCCCACTGTAGAAGAATCACCATTATCAACCTCCCTCTCTATTTCACTCCCTAAAATCGATCCTGCCATGATACTCGATCCCAATGACAAACCATCCATCTGTCCCGAAGCTAAATCCAATAAATGATCCGCAATGTTATACCCCTGAGGACAAGGTTTTCCCTTTCCAGCGAAGAATTCAGCTGGAGCATTACCCCCTTGACCGAAATATAATTGTTTACCTTTTGACAATAAACAAACTTGAGTGAAAGAATGATATAAAGCTGAACTTGGTTGATGTATAGAAGCTATTATGGTAGTTTCATTTTCTTTATCCTCTGAAAGATTCTTCAATAAGTTTATAAGTCTATATGCTGAAACGGAATCAAGTCCAGAAGTAGGTTCGTCTAAAATCAAAACATCTGGATTTGAAACTAATTCAATACCGATAGAAACTCTTCTCATTTCTCCACCACTTATCCCTCTAGATTCGATAGATCCAATTCTAGTATGAGCGATATCCGTCATGTTCAATTGTTCCAAAACCGTTTGAGCTCGACGGTCTTTAATGTCTTTAGGGATGTTTTCGGGTAATCGAAGATGAGCAGCAAAGAGTAATGTTTCTAATACGGTTGACGTAGGGGATAAAACGTCTGATTGATCCACATAACCTATTTTGATTTTCCTTCCGTCTGAATTGGAGAATTGAACTCGACCTGTGACTTGACCGGTTTTACGTTTCCCAGCTAAGATATCGATAAGTGTAGATTTACCAGCACCGGATGGTCCGAGAATACAACAAAAACCTCCTGGAGGTAATTGACCTGAAACATTTTGAAGAATAATCTTTCTTGATGCGGTGAGGTGAGTATTCTCTTCTTCATCCCTTCTGATCCGACCAGAACCTTTTATCCAAGAGAGAGTTCTGGAAGTGATTTTCGAAGATGAAGGTTTCACTTCGTACCCTATTTCAAACCATTTAATCCCCACTCCTCCAGATTTCGGTATATTTCCTCCGACAAGGAGATTCCTTCTGGCCCGATATCTCGAGATGACTCCCCAGATGACAAGAAGGAGGATGAGGAAAACGATGATGCCGACGACTGCCAAACCTGCGATAACTCCTCCACTCAACCCTCCGGAGATAGTTTGGGAAGTCGGGGAAAGCCCGAGAGATTGGTCGATGATATATTGTTCTACACATTCGCCATAAGAACATGAACTGAGTTGAAGACCATTCGCACCGAATAAAGATTTCAGAAGAGATTGTTGGAATGTACATTGTCCGTCATCTGAACAATCCACGACTAGAGGTCCGGAAAGAATATCAATAGCTCCTGTGATATTCTGAGAGGTAGACTATTGGTCAGTCATACAAAACCCACTTCCCACATGCTCCCCCATGACCCCAATCCCGTTCGGTCAGCTAACCATTCGATGTGATACGGAATCCCGACTCATGGGGTCAAAACAACAGTGCTCATATACCACATTCATTGGAATTCATATCGAAAGGGACGATCCGATTCAATATTCAAAGGGAGGATGTGAAGATGAAAGAGAGCGTATGAATATGAGAACCCCGTTGCCGACTGATTGGAGAGGAGAAAAGAGACAAGACGTACCTCTCCCCCACCACAAAAAGTGGTTCCAGGTCTACAAACACATTTCAAATTCGGACATGTCCATTTTGAAGAATTCCCCTTTCCATCCATTTGACTTATATCCTGATCACACTCATTGGCAAAACAATAAAATTGTTCCGTTCCGTTATACCACACTTGTGCCCATAATTGATTATCACCGTTTGTCAATCCTACTTTTTCAAGGACGTTCGTACCACCTGGCGTGAGAGAAGAATTGAGTGAACGTGTCATGGATAGATAAGTTTGACCTGGGAAAAGACTTTGTAAAAGGGGTTGAATGACTGAACATGACATTTGAGAAGAAGAGTAGACTGTGGGGACATTGGAACATGTTAAAGATGTGTTTAGGGCGGAAGATGTTTGAGTGGTATTTAAATAAGACGATAGAGATGAAGTGCAAGCTTTGGAAGATTGACAGACTGGGTGTTAGTTTATCATACTCATCCTGGGTGACGTGGGTGTTCCAAGTAAGTAAGTGTAGATCAATGTGCAAAGAGCATCCAGGGGAACAGGAAGTTGGTTTCTAGAGAAGAGGGGGGGTTGAATTGATGATTGTGATTGTCTTTGATTTCAGGATGAGGTATGGTGTCGGAAGCCAAGTTCACATATAAGCGCAAATCAAACGCTTACTTATCATGTTAAGAAATGGATGGTAAAGGTAGCGAAGAAAACGATCACTCACCGGTACATCCCAATCCTGTCCAACCATCATCACAACCACATCCCGTCAATTGACCTAACCCTGTTGACCCACCGCTAACAGGTTTACCAGGTGAGTACAAACTTCCCCCACAAACAGGTAAAAAACAATCATTCGGGGTGTTCACATCGTTGGTAGTGCCAGAAGGGTTGAATCCCGGAGGACAATAACAAGAATCCCCGCTAGAGGAAAGGTTTCCATAGTTGGAACATGTCAACGCTATGGTCGGTCTTGCCAATGTGATGAGGAGGACAAGGCTGGAAAGTGTGGGAAGTTTGGAGAGATACATCGAAAGAAGAGAGTTTGAGACATGAGGAGAGATAGGAAGTGTGGAACAGTAGTAAGATCATGTTGCTTTGTTGCTTGATGGGGGCGTACCGGCGTACCGAATGGAGTACGAAGAACCGAGGACCGACAGGCCGTGGGACGGACGGAAGGGGCAAAGTATATACGACACGGGGGCACGCATGCCGTACAAGATGTCAAAGAGGAGATTCACTTGTACATATGTACTCGAGAGAAGAGATGTATTGCAATACTGTAGAAAATAGGAAGCTTAGCAATGGTGAGGAGCACTAGCACTTGGGCTGAGACGGGGTTGCTAGGTTCAGGCACAAAGTCCGATCCAACAGGTAAAGTGAGAAAAGAAAAGCTATCGTTATCATGCAAATAGATCATTCCTCGTAGATATCTCGTCCATCTTACAATATCCTCGCACAGCCCCCTCCGGCCTCCGAGCCCCTCAATGTTGATGGAAACAAGTCGAGCATGTCCCTTTTGCTTTGAAAACATTTTGCGTAAACTCATCACAACCGCAAGTGGCACAAGTTCCCATCGCGACATCTTGCTTTTGGTTCGCCAAATGCATACTGCTCAGTCCATGACTTAATCCTCTGGTCATAACTGGCGCGGCGGAACCAGCTCCGGTCCCAGGACCAACAGTAGAAAGGTACTCTTCATCTTCCGATCCGGCAAAAGGGGAGGCTTCGGGTGAAGAACGCAGTTGTGGTTGCTTTGACAATGTAGATGAGCGAGATCTGAAACCTGGTCTTGGTGGGGCAAGTAACGTGGTGGAGAGATTTGTGGAAGATTGAGATCGACGTGAAGGAGGTGGAGGTGGAGCAGGTTTCTTGATGGAAGATTTAATTGGCGGTGGTTGTGCTCCTGAAGCTAACAGAGCGGTTCCATGATGATCATTATCGCTCAAACCATGAGAGACATCAGATTCAGTGTCTGGATATTCGTCCGGCGGTGAAGTTGCCATTAGTGGTTGAGGTATTGATCGAGAGAGGTTAGCTGGTGGGGGTAACGTTCGTCGCATAGGGACTGCGGTTTGCGGTGAGGGGACATATTCGTCTGTATATGCTTTGGGAAATAAACCAGATCGACCTTCACATTCACCTATCCACCAATCGCTCGATACTTCAGATTTGACCTCAATAATCTGCCCGGTACGGATTTGGAGTTCGTCCGCCGCTTCACCGTTAAAATCGAACAGAGCTTTAACATATCTCGCTTGCGGGTTCGCAGGTGTGGTCTGAGTACGTCGCATGGAAGGAGGAGGCACTTGATGGTCGGATGCGATAGTGCGGGAACTTGTGATGGTAGATGACCGAGCACGACCATTGGCACCTCGACTGTAGCTATCAAGAGAGTCATTGTCGTCATCCTCAGATTGAAGCGAGGGTCTTTCATCTTCATCCAAATTACCATACTTGTCACTTTTGAAAGGTTTCCTCATCGACGCCACGTTGGCGACGTTCGACAATCCACTCTTCTTGCCTAAAGAGCCGAAGGACGGAAGCATAGATCTTTTTTCTTTTCCTTTACCAATCGATGAGGCGTTGCTTTGCGACCGTGATCGATTTGGGGTAACGGCGTCCTCGTCTGAGTTGGCAGGAGGTCTAGACGAGAAGCCTCGGGCGGCCGTGCGGGTGAATGACCGTGCTGATGCATTCGATCTCGCTCGAGGCCGTCCTCCAGCATCTGGACTGAGAGTGTCAGAAAACAATAACGTCAAGGATAATTTAGCTTACCCTGACGGCCATTGATCTTTTAGATCTTCTAAGATATCTCTACATTTGGCGAAGTACTCCACTTCGGCTTCCAATAGATCTACCAGATCCATGAACTGTTGCTCCTCATTCTCCTCGATGGCTTTCATGCGAACTTGTGTCTCTTCCTCTATCTCGGAGCTGATAGTCAGCTTTGTTCAATGACCACTCGGATGATAATCACACTCACAATCGTTGCTGAGCATTCTCTACCTCGGCTTCCAGCGCCATGGTGTGCTTGTCTTTCTTGCTCTTGTTCAAATTGTTGAGAGCAGAATCAAGGGCGAGGCTACATCATCAGATTCATGCCAACCGAAACTAGTGGCTCACCGTCTTGAATCTAACTTTTTTCTCATGGCTTTGTATTCAGTGACCGTTGCCAGAGCTCCCTCTGTGCCTGTCAGTTCCAGACATGACACATAATGAGAAGACTGACCAATACCGGCGATGTACCCTTCACTCAATCTTTGCCCAAACTCTTCCTGAGTAGCAGCGAGCTTACATCTCGCTCTACCATACTTTTCCAATGCTTCTCCGTACCCTCCGCCCAACGTCTCACCATAGTCAATCATGACCAAACCCAAAGCCTCGGTATGTAAGATTTTTTCTTTCCCCGAACCTGCCGGAGGAGATGGATCCGCGGTGGGTTTCACTTTTGTGATCTGCTGGAAAAAAGGGATCGAGGTGGCGTGGAGGCTGTCCGTCAGTTAACTTACTTGATGTGAATGTGAGAAAGGGGCGTACCGCTCGATACCTGTTTTGCGGACTTCCACATCTCTTTCAAACTCGGTGAATTCAGATGAGAGTTGCGTCTTCTCGCCAGAAAATACCTATCTTGTATCAGCCCATGCACCAAGTACCATACTCCATACGCCATACGACTCGGTCATATCGCCAAGCCACCTGTGCGGAAGCATGTCAAGAGGCAGGAAAGAAGTGGTATCCACACCGCCATCGACATAACATTTGACGAGATCAAAACGGTAGAGGCAAACAACAGCGATATCCACGCTCGACGTCCCATTGAGACCGTGGGCCGACACGAGGTTGGAAGAAGGTAACATGAAACTCACCTTTTCGTTGGTCCATTGGGTGACCTTGCCTAGCTACGACGTGTCAGCTCCACAGTATCCCTCTTATTCGATTTATCACCTCAGCTCACCTGCTTCAAAGCTTTTCTCTGCATCCTTGAGCCACCTCTATATGAGACCACTGCAAACAAGACAGACAAGAGGTTGAAAGAGAGAAAGATGGAACGACAAACCGCATCAATGTTAACGGGCGCGGAGGAGACGACCTCGCTCAGGCACCCACCCTACCCCAAGTGCGATTACGTAACGACAAAAGTTTACTCTTTGACCAGTTTTGAGATTTCTACGGGGTTTCTCGAGATTCAACATAAACCTCACTCACTTACTGAATCATTGAAGAGGTCGACCGGAACTTGGACGGTAGCAGACAGAAGCAGGGGGATAGTAGTGACTTGCAGAGCGCTGAGAACACCATGGACATCTCCCACTCCCTCCCTTCCGAAGTCACCGCCCTCTCCTTCTCCTTCCTCTCTTCTCGTGATGTCGAAGCCATTTCAGTTCAAAAAATTGACAACCCTATCCTCCTCGACAACCTCGGTCTTCCTACAAAAGGTGGTCTGTATGATCCCAAACTAGGACCCATGAGTTCTCGAGATATGTAAGTAGACTGTCTCCAGCTTCAAAAGAGCTCACTGATCGTACAGTTGCCAGACATGTCATTTATCCTATTTCGCCTGTCCCGGCCATTTCGGGCATATAGTCTTACCCAATCCTGTCTACCATCCACTTTTCATGCGAGAATGTTACATTCTTCTTCAGTCGGTATGTCAATTCTGTCATCACTTCAAAATGCCCGAGATACTCCTACGACAATACATTGGTCGTTTGCGGTTGCTCGATGCAGGGTTAGTGGAGAGATCACACGATATGGCGTATTTCTTACCTCGAACAAGCAAAGATGACGGAGATGATGATGGAGAAGAAGGTGATGAGAAGACAAGAGCAGATGCTGTATCTGCGGAATCTGCTGCAGAACTGATCGTACGCATGGATGGATATGTGAAATCATGTTTGCACGAAGCGAAGAAACGTTCGGGTAAAGAGAAGTATATGGATGGTTTGATATTTGAGGAACGGCGTAAGGCTAGGAACGCATTCATAGCCGCTGCCAAGGGCTGGAGGTCATGTAAGCGATGTTCGGCGTGAGTCTTCCTCCCCTCTCCCCAAGAAAATCACATCCAATGAGAAGATGGAGCTGATCGGAAGACATGGGTTCACATATCGGAAAGAGAAATCCATCAAAATTGTCGAACTAGACCTCGATCCTAAGAAGAAAGAAGTCAACAAAGTCCTTGGCGTCCGACGCCCTCAAGTCATCGGGAGTGGTAGTGTTTCTTCGAGGAAAGCTCGGAAACTGAACGAGGAAGATATCGACGAAGGTATCGAGCGTAGCAGTCATGGTAGCTCCTCTTCCGACGAAGATGAAAACATAGACGTCGATTCTGACGAAGGCGTCACAGTGGCTAGAGCTGCGAATGGCCAGATCAAAGGGCGAAGAGGAAGGAATGAAAGAGTCATGCCCGCCTCGGAAGTACGAGAGCATATAGGTTTACTTTTCTCCAAAGAATCTGAAATGTGTAATTTGCTTTATGGGCGAAACCGAAATTCCAAATCTAATATCAATTGCTCTCCATCAGCCGACATCTTTTTCCTTGACGTTCTTCCCGTTACTCCAACTCGATTCCGACCGGCCTCCAAATTGGGCGACGAGCTATTCGAGAACAGTCAGAATTCCCTTCTCACCGCGGTTATCCAAACCTGTCGCCGTATACAGGATCTCAATCAGCGTCTACATGATCAAGTGAAAGCAGAGAGAGGCGAGATCGTACTTGATGCCATTGCCAAAGCCGAAGGATCCAGGACATTTGAACTTTTACTTGAGGCTCTCATCAAAGTACAACACGATGTCAACAGTTTTGTGGACAGCACTCAAAATCCTACCATCATGAGAGGTGGGAAATTACCTCCCCAAGGTGTCAAGCAGCTACTAGAGAAGAAAGAAGGACTGTTTAGGAAACATATGATGGGGAAAAGAGTCAATTATGCTGCTCGCTCTGTGATATCACCCGACATCAACATCGAAACCAACGAAATTGGTATACCACCTGTTTTCGCCAAAAAGCTCACTTATCCTGAGCCCGTCACTGCTCAAAACATCAACGAATTGCGACAGTTAGTCATAAATGGTCCGAAAGTTCATCCCGGTGCCGCACTTGTTCAGAACGAGGACGGGACGCAGGTTTCACTAGTATGTGTATTTCGAATATAGCAATGGGCGCGTAGCTGTGGCTAATTGACAGGACAAAACCACCATCGAGCAACGACAAGCAATCGCTAACCAACTCCTCACTCCTCAAAGCGACGCATACTCAGCAGGGAGCAGTGCCGGTCCTCCTGCCAGAAATAAAAAAGTTTATCGACATATTCGGGATGGTGACATTGTGATACTCAATCGTCAACCGACTCTTCACAAACCAAGTATGATGGCCCACAAAGTCAAAGTACTGCTCGGTGAGAAGACGATTCGAATGCACTACGCCAATTGTAATTCGTACAACGCCGACTTTGACGGAGACGAAATGAACATCCATTTCCCTCAGAACGAGGTGGCAAGAGCAGAGTCACTCATGATCGCCAATACGGACAATCAATATCTCGTACCAACCTCCGGTAAGCCACTTCGAGGGTTGATACAAGATCATGTGGTGGCTGGTGTGTGGATGTGTAACAAGTCGTCATTCTTCACTAGAGAAGAATACTTTCAACTCATTTACGGTGCACTCCGTACAGAAGATAATTATATTACTCAGAATAGAATTATCACCTTGCCACCGGCGATATGGAAGCCTCGACCTATGTGGACAGGAAAACAGATCGTGAGTTGCATATCATTTCCGTGCAGTGTGGCTGACTACGATAGATCTCCACCATCCTCACGAACCTTACCCCATCAAATGCCAAAGGTCTCAATCTCAACTCCGAAAATAAGATTTCCAACAAACTCTGGCAACGTGATGACTCCTCTGATCAGACCATGTCCGAAGAAAACGTCATCTTTCTCGATGGTCATCTCATTTGTGGTGTACTTGATAAATCGCAATATGGTGCTTCGGCATACGGTCTCGTCCATTCTGTTCATGAGCTTTACGGACCCGTCACTGCCAACCGTCTCCTTGGGGTGCTGTCACGGCTCCTCACAAAGTATCTTCAACATGACGCATTCTCTTGTCGGATGGACGATTTACTTCTCACAGCTGAAGGAGAGAAAATCCGTAAATCAATCCTAGACGATGCTGCTCGGGATGGCGAACGAGCAGCTATCAAATATGTTGGTCTACCTCCGGGTTCAAGCGTCGACGATCCTGGAACCGCAAGGAATCTCGTTACTCGACTGGAAGAGACCTTGAGGGATGATCATCTCATGGCTGGATTAGACGCTGTGATGCAAACTGCATTCAACAAAACGACTTCGAAAATCAATAACGACGTCCTTCCGAAACATCTGGTTAGACCTTTCCCCGATAACAACATGCAGCTCATGACCATTTCCGGAGCGAAAGGATCAAAAGTCAACGCATCGCAAATATCGACTTTACTCGGTCAACAAGCTTTAGAAGGAAGACGTGTCCCCACCATGGTCAGTGGTAAGACCTTGCCATCTTTCAAACCTTTTGATACCTCCGCACGTGCAGGAGGATATGTGGCAAATCGTTTCCTTACTGGTATTCGACCACAAGAATATTACTTTCATTGTATGGCAGGTCGTGAAGGATTGATCGACACGGCTGTTAAAACCAGTCGATCAGGTTATCTTCAAAGATGTTTGATCAAACATCTCGAAGGTGTCAAAGTACATTACGATCATACTGTTCGAGATAGTGACTCCTCTGTTCTTCAATTCCTTTACGGAGAGGATTCTTTAGACGTAACCAAAGCTCAACATTTGGGGAAATTCGATTTCGCAGCGAGAAATCATGAATCACTTTTGAATCGTTCGAGACCGAGAGACGTCCTTCCTGTGGTTATTCAAGATGAGGCCGTTGATAAGATGAAGAAAGCTCTGAAGAAACCTCATAAACACGAACCGGCCCTTTCGTTATTCCCACCATCCCGTTACCTAGGAAGTATGTCTGAAACATATGCAAGAAAACTCGCCACATACATCGAACAAAATCGGTTCGGGTTTATCACAAAAAAAGGAGAGATCAAATCTTCTCCATATACATCAGAACGAGTCAGCGACAAAGAATTCTTACAATTAGCAAGAGTGAGATATATGCGAAGTTTGGTAGAACCTGGAGAAGCTGTTGGTTTACTGGCTTCACAAGGAGTAGGAGAACCATCAACTCAAATGACACTTAACACATTTCATCTCGCAGGTCATGGTGCAGCAAACGTTACACTTGGTATTCCAAGATTAAGAGAAATCGTAATGACGGCTTCCACAAAACCTATTACCCCAACTATGAAACTTGCCCTTCGTCCTGGTGTATCGGATCAACAAGCGGATTCATTCGTTAAACATGTTTCTAGATTAACATTATCTCAAGTTGTAGAACGTGTTTCAGTTACGGAACGTTTATCGAATAAAAATGATGAAGTTCGTCAAAGGAAATATACCGTTTTACTTGAATTTTATCCATCAGAAGAATATCGTAAAGAATATGAAATCACCACTTTACAAGTTTATCAAGCTTTGGTTCTATCATTCGCCAAACGATTAAAAGAAGAAATTTCTAAAGAAATGAAAAATTCAACTCGTTCTTCGGCTCAGGAATTACAAGTTGATAGAGGTTTAACAGTTAGAAAAGGAGGCGATGATGGAGAAGGTGATGAAGTACCAACGATCAGAAAAGGAAGAGATGATGAATTGGATAATGATGATGAAGATTCATATCAAATAAAAAGACAAAATCAAGGACGTCAACATGAATATGAAGAAGATGATTCAAATTCAGATTCTGGTATTGGTGATTTAGAAGATTTCGTAGAACGTAATATGGAAGAAGACGATGATGAGGAGGAGGAGGATGAGGATCTTGGGATTAGAGATCCTAAGGAGAAAGCGAGGAAAGATCAATTGACAGATACTTTGCAAGATGAGTTTAAAAAGGTTTTACCTTATGCCACCAGTGTTAATTTTGATGTACATTCTGGTAAATCGGCACAATTCGATATGGAAGTGAGTTGATCTTGTTGTTTGAAAGGAAGTGAAAGAACTGATGATGGTAGTTTGCTGCGAATGCACCAAAGTTGTTATTGGTGGATATCATAGAAAGAGCTTGTAGATTGGCTGTGATACATGAAGTCAGTAGTATAAATCGGTGTATGAAGATATTTGATGATAAGGGGGAGTTTACCGTGAGTCGATATATCCACTCTCATCTTCCTCTTGATTTTTCATTTTCCTCTACTTCCTCTTCTGACATTTTCTTACTCTTCCCATTTTTCTCCCTTTATCATTTCTGCCTTTCTCGATTCATGGGTTTCAAGTCCCTATTCCAACTTGATATATGAAATCCCGCACACCCTCATATCCTTTTCATATCACAAGACGTGACAGGTATCCTCTAGTGACATCTTGATGTCCATTATGATACCAATGAAATCAGATCGGTTTTTGAGATATCAAGAAAATCATAAGAGTCAAAAGAACATAATACTTATACCCAGGGCGCCCTCATCACAGAAGGTTCAAACCTTAAAGGAATGTGGGCATTAGCAGATGAACTTATCGATCTTGATAAACTCGGTTCCAATGATATTTACGCACTTTTACAAACTTATGGTGTTGAAGCTGCCAGAAGGGCGATTATCGATGAAGTTTCTTCGGTTTTTGGAGCTTATGGTATAACTGTGGATTATCGTCATATCAGTGTTATTGCTGATTATATGGTGAGTGTGATTTTTTTCTTAACAAATCGTTTCATTTTTCATACTTATCCCCCCTTCCCGGGGTTTCTATGACGATTTACCCCATCACTTTCCTTTGTATCTCTCTCTTGCTCTCATTTTTTCACTCTTATCCTTCTGTTGATATAACCACAAATCTTGCTTGTTCCATCATTTCACATCTTTGAGTTGAAAATACAAAGGATAATGCACTAACTTAACAAAGACACATGCAGGAGGATACAAAGCATTCAACAGAACTGGTATTTCATCAAAATCTTCTCCTTTACTCAAAGCTTCTTTCGAAACTACTGTTCAATTCCTCTCCGAAGCTACCTTGGCGGGAGATATCGACGACCTTACTTCTCCCGCTGCGAAGATCGTTTTGGGTAGACCGAGTTCTAGTGGGACGGGTGCTTTCGATATACGAGCTCCTATTGCTTGACCGACCTCTGACTTGATTAATTTTTTCGCTATCGACCTTACCGGAAGTGCCCTATCTTGGTCATCATGTACTCCACTTCACTGGCATCAAATGGCTCAGCCATCTCAATGCGTGAACTGCCCCCCTTTGCACGTTAGTACTGGGCAAAGGAAACCATGATTCTCCTCCGGAAAGAGTACATACAAAAGTTTTGCTTCAGAGTGACATTGAACGTGAATAAAAGATGCATGGATCATATCATATCATACTCGGATGTTATACATTGTCAGATGCCTTCAGACATTGAATCTCTTACATGACATCAGTCTACATGATGACGCAGTTCTCATCTCCTCCTAAAGCACCTAGATCCTAATCGTCAACAACATTCTCTTCCTCCCCTTGAACCCAATTTTACTCCCGAGTCGAAAAAGGAGCCGCAAGGACAAAAAGGTTATTTGGGAAAGAAACAAACGACCGCAGACATCGATGGACTTTATTTGTGAGGAGAGATGAAGGGTTGGGGATATGAGACACAACCAAAGATGATGATGGTACAGATATGAAGATAAGAAAAACTCACAAATCCTTCAGGCATATCACCCATTATCTCACTTGGAGGTCCACCAAGATCTTGCATCTCTCCTACTAACTTTGCTATCTCTTTACTATCCGTTTCATCGGAATAATTCGTTTTTCGGAAGACGGCAAGTATTTGAGTGACAAGGATGGATTGACGTTTGTATTTATCTACTTCGGCAGGAGAGAGGTTTGAAGGTGGTGAAGCTAAGAAAGATGGGTACTAATGATGAGTCTTTCTTCCAATAATACAACCTCCTCCATTCGTCTTGCTTTTCTGCGCCAGATCCCCGAGTACAGACAAGTTCATCAGGACACCTAGTGAAGGATAATGAAGAAGGTGACCACCACTCACCTTGCCAGCAAGCTCAGCCATAGGTTCTTCCAAAACTTCCTTAGTCATCAATTGACTCATCATACCATCTAACAATCCTCCTAATTCATCATCCTCTCCTAAACCTTCTAAACCTTCCAAACCTTCCAACCCTTCCCCACTTTGCAAAGCTTTGAGTAATTTTCCCATGTCCATCTGTGACTCTTGAGCACCCGCACCTTTGGCAGCATTCAGATTTTCCATTGTCCGTTTTATCGTTTCGTCAAAAGTCGGTTTCGATCCATTTGATTGATTCCCTTTATCCTTCAGAACTCCATTCGCATCTGACATGCCTAAAGCATCTAAACCTTCACCAGAGAGAAGATCCGCCACTGCTTTTTGCCATGCATTCTCTTCTTCTTCATCCGTCATTGGTTCTTTTGGTCCGCTCACTTGACCTGGATGGTTTATGGGGTGTTGAATAGGAGTATCAGGCATGGGTCCAGGAGGATGATCACCTGCTAATTGACGTAAAAGAGATTCCATACCTTCCACCAAGGCGGCTTCAAAATCGTCATCTGGGTCATCGTCGTCGATCGGTTGTGGAGGGCCAGCAGGTTTGATTGGAGGTTTCGTAAAGGAAGAAGCAGCGAGAGGACGAGAAGAAGATAGTGGAGGAGGTGATATAGATGGAGTCTTTCGTTTTTCAGGAAGGGATGGTTTTGAGAATGACGCTATGACATCTGATAGTAGTCAGCCACAAATCGAGTAGGAGTAAGGATTGAATGACCTTCAAGACCATCCAGATCATCGTCGTCATCATCATCCACATGTGGATTCCTGTAAGCTGTTGAATGCTGCTGAGAGGTGGGCATGACTATGACGGGGTGGTAGAAGAATACCTTGCTATCCTTGCACTCTTTGCACTCGTGTCAGGTTGTGAATTGGGAGTGAGAGAACATGTCAGATTAGCCGGAGTTGCCGGGCAAGGTGACATGAATCGCCACACCTGTCTTACACGGTTCGGTGTTTCGGGATCACCGTTAAGATGAAACGGCGGAAGTCGCCGCTGACTCGGAACTGCCACATTGCCACATAACCACGCGACTGCTGTCTCGCAAAACATCATACGCTAGACGCTCAACGCTTGGACCACCGTGTTTTCCTTCACTCAACCACTCTCTTTGACACCATCATTCCCCCCCTCCCACCTTTCCTGTCTTTACTCTTTCCATATACCTAATCAGTAGTAGTCATACCACATACACACTGACACATCACAACATCCTACGAAACAGCTTCGACGTGACCAGAAAGAAAACGAAAAACATTCACCCCAACAAGGATCTCTTACTCTCACACCGCTTTTCAACAACTTGACCACAACATCCCCCGTTCTTGTTACACTGCATCATGCTCATTGACTTTTTCCCTCTTTCGACATAGTGAATCTTCCGACTGGCTCTCACATTTCCCCTATCGTTCCTTTTCGACCTTTCGACAGTTGTCCAAGTCCCTCTACTTCGACCGTCCGAAGCACCATCCATCATGCGGAGAAAATTACCACTCATTCCCTTCCATCTCCTCTCCTTACCCCTTGCCATGGCAGCCACCTCCGCCCCATCAACCCTACCCCAGGTCGATTTCTCTCGTATGGGGACCGTTGGTCTCAGTGGTGCATTCGATGGACTGGACTGGTGGTCATCTTCTTCCCCTTTCGCTTCTTCCTCATCCTCATCTTCTTCCATTTCTTTTTCAACCACCGGCGACACGCTCTTCACTACTTCCAGTGACGGAACATATCAACCATTAGGAAGCACAAATCCGGGAGGTGTCATCAATGCCGTCTGTTGGGCAAACTCATCCTCCAACGGTACATTGTATATAGGAGGATCCTTCACATCCATATCTTCCACAACTTCCGCCAACATCATCACTTATGACCTATCCTCTTCTTCCTTTCACATCATATCTCCCGGATTATCAGGTCCCGTCCAGTCACTCTATTGCGACAATGCTCATGGACAAGTGTGGGTTGGCGGAGAATTCACAGGTCCATCGGGAGGAGGGAACAATGTCGCTTTATGGTCTACCGGATCGTCAACTTGGACAGCTGTCCCTTTTCAGGGTTTGAATGGTGCAGTCGAAAGCATACAACCCAGTGCCAACGGTTCAAGTATCTATTTCGGCGGCGCGTTCACAACCACTTTCCAATCGAATACCACAACAAATTCCACAACCAATACAACTTCGATACAATCGGCTCCGAATGGAACATGGACCACTGGTAATTCTGGATACCTAACTCCTGTCACTATGCCCGCTGTGTCGTCTTCAGCCGGTGGACTCACAATCACTGCTGGTCCCTCGACCGACCAATCGCAGTATTCCGATCCTACCGTCTTGCTGTGCCCCGGCTCAGGTACTTGGTTGGCTCAGGACAACACAATTTCCAATGTTGATGTCCTTGGGAATAGTTACTGGCGGGCGTCAGGGGTTCGACTTACCAACGCCCTTATCCAAAATCGAGGCGCAACTGGCTTCTGGTGCGTCCCACATCGTTCCGCATGAACATTAATGCTGATGACAGCGTGACTGCTTTACCCGACAATGTTCAGCTCAATATGACGTACACTGATCCCGTGACCGGCCAGACAAATACATGTTGGGATCATTGTCCTCTGTATACCAACTCGTCCATCTCAGGTCAAGATTTCCTCTTCACCGCCGGAGTGCAAAACATGACAGGTCTTCAGATGCAGCTTAAAACGTGGATCGGAGATGGAGCGGGACTAAGCAGCGTTCAGGTGTTATCGGATGGTAGGTCCTTTGTAAATGTCAGGTGAACAAGCTGATCAGCAGGAGCGTTCGCCTCTGCCGCGACTGCCGGAAATACCGGTTCATGCTCCACTCAAAAGTCATCCGACGTTCAGACGACGGGCAATTGGTCGACTGAAAGCGTCGTGACCAACATTCCTGCCACGACCGCGTACTACCTCTCCACTACCGTCGCCGTGGGAGATTCTGACCGTCCTTCCGTCACTTTCTACCCTTACATCTCCGCCGCTGGTTACTACGACGTTTACATGCTCATCCCGGGATGTACCAACACTGAACATTGTGAAGGTCGGACATCCGTCGACATCGAAGTCTTCCCTATGGCCAATGGTCTCGGATGGACTAGCACGATATCAGAGCAAGTCACTGATGACGCTAAAGCTCTAGTGTACTCAGGTTGGATGGATGCGACGAGTTCTAGCTTTAATCCAACTGTCATCCTCGCTCTCGCAGCAAGTCCCGATGCTCCCAGTAGCGGCAGCACGTATTATATCGTCGCGGAGGCTGTGGAGTTGCGACTCACGGGTGTCAGCGGGGCCAACGGGACTACTCTGGCAGGGGGCACTACTTCTGGGAGCCCTACGGTCAGCTCGAGCATGAATACGACACAAATGACCGGTTCATCGATACAAGTGGCATTTGGGGTATACGAATACGTCCGTACCACATCCACCTTGAACGCAGCATCTTCACTATCCAACACTACCGAAACGGCGTTGACTCAACTCGGCTTCGGTTTGATTGCCGCCAAGAACGCGTCCACCTCGAGCACCTCATTCACCGTCAACACATTCGTCACGTCCGATACGATGATATATGTTGGAGGGGAATTTTCAGCTTCATCCAACTACTCGAATGTCATCTCTGTTGATACGACTACGGGCAAAGCGACTGAGCTCGCATCGCAAGGTCTGAACGGACCGGTGTACACCTCGGCAATCATCGGCGGCTACATCTTCTTCGGGGGTGACTTCACCTCCACCGTCACAGGCGGAGTGACCTTGAACAATTTAGCTCGATACGATCCGAAAGCACAAGCTTGGGCTGCAATTGGCGGAGGTGTGAATGGAGTGGTCACTACGTTACTTCCATCTCCCACCAGTTCCTCTCAGTTGATAGTGGTAGGAAACTTTTCTCAAGTGACTGCAGGCGATGGCTCGGTGTCACAGACGGGAGGATACGCCACTTGGGACACTTCTTCTTCCTCTTGGTCTAACTCGGGTGTGATTTTCGGCAATCTCACCACCATCGGTAGCTCGTCAAACCAAATCTACCTGGCTGGGAAGGTCTCTGGATATACACAAAATGGGGCAAACGGTATCGCCACATTGTCCACCGATTCAGATGGTTCGGCTCAAATATCTTCACTTCCCGGCGCTACCTTCTCCACGACAGGCTCTGCGTCCAGTCCGTCAACTCGGCGAAGATCATTTTCGGAATCCGTTCGACGTTCCGTCACGGCTCAGCTGCAAGCGCTTGAGGCTCGATTGACCGGCCAAACCTCCCACCTACTCACTTCACGAGCTTCGACGGCGCCCACCATTGCTCAATCCCCAGCTGTCGCTCCCGCCGTTCTCAGTGGTACTTTCTGGACCAACTCGTCTGCTTCTGGTAAACCCACGGTTTACATCCTCGGCGGCAACTTCTCATCGACCACCTCATCTCCCGTCAAAGGTGTGGGATTCTACTCAGACGACCAGCTTTCCGGCCCTTCACCTCCTGTCAGTGGACTCGTCCAGGCTGTCGACGTGGTCAATAACGTCTTGTATGTTGGCGGGAACGGAGTCTCGGTTTCTGGTGCCGGCTCTACCATTCTTGCCTATGACCTTCAGAAGGGACAATGGTCGCCCAACTCTATCCCTTCTTTGAATCCTGCTTCTGGAGGAAACGTCTCGGTCAATGCTATCAGTCAACGATTGAAAACCAACACGGTGGTGGCTGCTGGACAATTCGCAACCGCCGGATCCCTCAATTGCGCTGCCGTGTGTTTATGGGATATCGGAAGTGGACGATGGAACACTCCTGGGACTGGTCTACAATCTGGCGAAGTCAAATCGATCGATTTTGTCGGTAATCAACTGGAGATTTTGGTTGTGGGAGGATCATTCGTCATGTCTACTGGGACTGTCGCTTATGCCGCTACGTATTCATTCGACAATTCCACATGGACCACTCTTGATGGACTACCAGGACCTGTTTTAGCCATAGCCTCCGATGATCGAAACGGAAGTAATATTTTTGCTTCTGGTTATTCCACTTCCGACTCTACTCCTTATTTACAAAGGTGGGACGGATCATCCTGGACGTCTCAAAATTCTACACTCTTACCTGGAAGTATCGTTCAACAACTAGCTTTCGTCCCTATGACCTCTGAACATTCAGGACAAGGTAGCATTGAAAAAGATCGAATGTTGATGATTTCCGGTTCTCTCATCTTACAAAATCAAGGCAACGTCAGTTCCGCTTTATTCGACGGGACCAATTGGTATCCCTATCTAATAGGAACTACAAGTACTGGATCATTAGGAAGTATCTCTAAATTATTTTGGTCATCCGATTCTTTTTCTTTCAACATCCATCATTATCTATCTAGGGGTTTAGTGGTACTCGTCGCTATCGCAATAGCTACAGGTCTTATTCTACTTCTTATATTACTTTACGTATTAGATACTCAAGTATACGAAAAACGTTACTTGAATCGAAATGAACCTGAAGCTGTCAGAGTCAATAAAGAAGCTTTACAACCATATTGGGATAATACACCAAATTCAAGTAATGTCGATCAACTTCCACAATCGAAAAATAATCAAGTTGGAATGGCAGGTTATATGGCAAGTGTTCATGCTGCTTTAAGAGCTTCTTTAGGAGTTAGAGAAGTTCAACATGATGATATGACCGGTATGATAGAAGATCGTAGAAGATCAGATGAAGATGGTGATAGTGAAGAAAGTGAAGATTGGAGAGAAACTACAATGAGATATGATTTTGAAGCGGATGGTAATCATCCTGGAGAATTGAGTATGAAACAAGGACAAAGGGTTGAGATTAATGAGAGGTTAGATAGTAGTGAATGGTGGTATGCTAGGGATCCACATACGGGTAAAGAAGGAATAGTACCTCAATCGTATGGTGAGTTTTTACTTTTACTCTCGTTTCCCTTTCTACCAAGACACTCCTGAATACATCTTGTCATTTCTTTTGTACATCCTTTTCGACTAATCTTCAATGCCCAGTCTCGTCCCTTGGGCATTATCTCTTCTCTACCTGGTTATCCAAACACCTTCGTTGACACTGTTCACAATATTTTCTCAAACGTAGTAAAGCGATCCCGCTCCAGTCAGAGACGGTAAAGTTATGGAAATTCACTGACTCCATAGTGTGGTGAATTTCAAAGGACAGATGATGACAATTACGAACCAAATCTTAACGATGTGTATGGACGTTAGGTAGAGAGGGTTATAAGAGATGTATCTATCCTTGCATCTTCATCAATAATTCATCGCATCCTTGCCGCATAGCATGCATAGCAGAAAGGTACTTTAGAGATTGGACCCGGCGGCAATTCTCGTTTCGTTTAATATTACGTCATCATTTCTTCCGACCTTCCCTTTTCTTCCATGCTGCCATGCTGCTACAGTTGTATCTCCTATCTCCTCGGCCTCTGGTGCAGCTAGCTACATAGTATCTTTTGTACCTTCATCACCTGGGATACGAACACGAACACGCCGTCTCACCGAGGCATACAGTATGGTTTACCCGTAATGCTGACACACGAAACCCCGCCAACCCGCTTCTCGGCCATTAGGCATCCTTTGTGGCGTCCCCCTACCACACTAACAGAATGGAGATGGTTGATGGACTGATGAGTCTAGTAGTTGGATCGTTCGTATTGTTCGTTCTTCATCCATTTTCTCGTTTTCATTCATACTTATTTATCTGACAGGAGTCTTTTGGAGTTCTGTAGTTGGAGTTTATCTTTACTGTCGATTGTTAGGTTCAAGGGGTGAGATCATCATATTTCAATGGCTGAAGTGGTCGTGTAGAGTTGATAGATAGTCTTTTCATTTGTCATTGTTGTTGAAACTCTTGTCATAAGGCGTAAAGATTCTCAACACGAAGAATAAAATCATCGACTATAGGAGAGGAAGATTCAATTATCACCACCACCACCGCCACGATTACGATTACGATACAGAACACGAATACAGATACGACCACGAGGACTAAGACCCATAATTGATGAAGAAAAACGATTTATCACGAGGCGACCAGACGATTCTACGATACTCAATACTGAAAATTACATGTTCATGATCCACACAATACCGATACTACGAAGATAACATACGATCACGACTCCAAATACACATCCCACCACCACATTCGAGACTTTCACGAAGAATACGAGACTTTTGACGTTCAAGGGTATAACGACATACCCATATGTCCGATATTTGATCTACCAAGACCGACCCGAAGTGAGAACCTACCATAGGAGGTGATAATACAATCATGTTATTAGCAATACTTCTTATACTCAGCCTTCTGGGAGAGACATTGGCGGTACTGGCTATCCCCAATAAACGACAGAATCCAACGACGACAACGATGATGATAACTACTACCACCTCTGTTCCTACTACGACAGGAGGACAAAATGATGGGAACGGAGATGTAGATGGACAAGGGGATAACGCAGTATCAATCTCAGTTGTTATACCTATTGCTTGTGCTTTAGGAGGGATTTTATTTGTTGCTTTCATCGTTAGTCTTTCGTAATCCTTTTCATCAGTTATAATTTTCGCCATTCGTCATTCCCATGTTTCATGACGTTTTCCTCCACTTTCCTGTTGAGTTTCTTTCCCTCGACTCACTTTTCAACTTCATGTTGTTAAATATATGATGCAAAGATATCATTGATCATAAACTTATCCCAGTTCTCTATCAGGAATAAACTCAAATTCTTATTTACCTTCCCCCGCTCTCTACATACTCGTTCTACTTCCCTTGACTCTACGAACGAACCTCTGACAGGTCTCACAGCTGAAGAACTCGCCACTTCTAGACGTCGGACAGGTACAGGAGCCAGTACCGGTTCTTCTGATACGGGTGCTACTCGCGGGACTGGGAGTGGTGGGACAGGAGGGAATACGACTGCTCAAGGTACTGGGACTAATGGGACGAGAATAGAGACGAGAGAACGTAGGAGAGTAGACGGATAAGGAGAACGGAAAGTGGAGCTACTGTGAGGACTTTACCTGTTTATCGTAAGGAAGCTGGGGATGACGAGTTGATTCTCGTTCGGTGAGTACTTCACTTCCCACTCTACTATGCACCTCATCCTTCTTAGCTTACCAGCCTTGTCAGTCTACCTAATGATCTTCTTCGAAGCAATGATGTAGCTGCGTCTTCCCCGAGAGAGATATGGGAATGATCAACTGACCTCAGTCAACGATCAAATAGCGACATATCTGAAGTCGACATAGAGTTTGAAGATCCAGATCCGAATCCAAATCCCACAGCTCCCCTAACACCTCCGATACTTCCTCTAGCTCCCCCTGCCACTCACACACTTAGACCTCTTTATCCTCCCGACCAACTTCCTGACGTGACTCCACCTACTGTCGTCAACGATGACCCTCCAACACCTCCTCATTCCGCACCACCAGGTCACACTCAGCTCACTCGTATTCCTTCCTCTACCAGGAGTCAATGGGGTGAAGCGCCGTCTTACTTTGACGCTATCACCTCCCCCTTTTTATCTTCATCCACCACAGAACAAGGTCTGTCCACGTCAAACAACAACGGTATCATCCCAGGACCTCGATCGGCAACTTCAGAAACTTTTCGTAATGCCACCTCTGGTTTCTCACGTTTACTCTCTCGTGCAGGTTTCGCACCTGGTTCTTTCCGACCTAATACAAATGGAAGACCAATGGAACAAAGACATTCTTCTCATACATCTATGACATCCCTTTTACTTCAACCACAAACTTCACGACTATCCACAACATCTAATAGAGCCACTAGTCCTTTTCCTAGTCCAGAGGCGTCAACACATAGTCTACTCATCTCATCACCTATACCCAATACCGCTATGAGGGCTAGCTTCATAGATTCTGCATTACCACGTGCCGGGTTGAGTGAAGATCAAATGAGATTTTTATCAAGTGCAGAAGCTGTCAATCTGGCCGGAGTGAGGTTGGATGAACCACCTAGGACGCCGAGAAGGGTTAGAAGGGCTAGTGCAGGTGCAGGTAATGATGCTTTATTGGGTGATGCAAGTCCGGGAACACCTAGTTTGAGTCAAGAAGTTGATCAAACGGTGGAAGCGAGGGAAGGAGCGCAAGCGCAAAGAGGTGACTTGCCAAGTTGGGAACAAGTGGTAAATGAGACAAGAAGGACACAAGCGGCAGAAAGACAAGGTTTAGCCAGGCCGGTAGTGCGTCATGACAATCAGGGGGATATAAACCCGTCACAACCTCATGGGGCAGGAGAAGGCGCCGAGGTTGTGGAGACGTTAAGACAGGATAACAGAGTGGTACGAGGAGTGGATCTGACGGGCGGAGAAGGACAGGTGGAACAAGACCAAGAGGGAATGAGGAAGCAACGACAAGAGGGAACTGATGGACGTTCACCACCCGGACGGACGAGACAATTATCTATCACTGTCCCATCGAGAGTGCTACTACGTTCAAATGACGCACCGGTGTTGGAGGTCGAACCTCCCACTCCTCTCTCGGCCGTTGTAGGGCTCGAAAGATGAACCGTGGGGGTTGAAATGTTGACGACTCAAATGATTCCTTGCATCATGCATCATCTCATTTCTCTTCTTTCACAATTCAACAAGCCCATCTGGAATGCTGAGTTGGATCAGGGTTTTCAAAACAACAACGATCTCTATAGGCCATAGTCTACTGGCTGAGCACATTGTTGTGTGACTGTTGCATGCAACCCTTCAAGCAGTGAGCGTTTCTGACGGGGTGACTTTTGCCATATATTTGGACACTTATTCACTGTCACGGCCGTCGAACAACTTCCTTCTAACAGACCGACGGTCGACGAACCTCGGCTAACTTGACGGTTCTAAGTCGATGTCTCACCCAATCAGGAGGGCACAGACGTCAAAAGGAGTGTAACTACGGCGTACTTGGGCGTAGTTACTCTAACTGGGGTTTTTCTCTGATGGCGATGTATCTTAATTTGTATGTAGCTATCTCTATCAATCTTTCACTACTGACAACAATCAAGGATCGCTGAAGAACTTCAGCGATCTTCTCAGCTAATATTATCTACTCCTCCTAGATGTTCACCCAACCCTCTCGCGCTTAGACGTACTTCAACGCACTTCGTCCAACTTCCCCGAGTCCCCGGCGATCCTTTTCCTCCTTTGACTGACTCCGCATGACATTGCCGCAGTTCTGCTCCCATTGTCCCTACTCAGCCTAACTCCGTCTAACATCGCCGTCCTTATGCTCCAGACCCCCGTATACCTTATTCTCCCGCTGTACTTCGCCGTACTTCGCCTTAGTTGGTCTCAGATGTCCTGAGTTACGTGTAGAGTGAAGAGGTTTAGACGTGATAGGGGTTTTGATGGTCAAAGGAGGATCACTGCTGGTGGAATAATTGAGGTGTCACGGCGTAGTTTGTCCGAGTATGTACATAGACGCTTGCAGTAGGACTGAGAGGAGGACGCGGACTCTTGTAGATAGTATATAGTTGTCACGGCCGTCGAACAACTATCTTCTGGCAGACCGACGGTCGACGAACCTCGGATAACTTGATGCTCCTGAGTCGAAGTCTCACCCAACCGAGAGGGCGCAGACGTCGAAAGGAGTGTAACTACGGCGTACTTCGGCGTAGTTACTCTAACTAGGGTTTTGTTCTACTGATGGCGATGTATCTCGAATTGTATATAGCTATCTCTATCTGTTTTTCACTACTGACAACAATCAAGGATCGCTGAAGAACTTCAGCGATCTTCTCAGCTAATATTATCTACTCCTCCTAGACGTTCATCCAACCCTCTCGCGCTTTGACGTACTTCAACGCACTTCGTCCAACTTCCCCGAGCCCTCGGCCATCCTCTTCCTCCTTCGACTAACTCCGCCTAACATCGCCGCACTTCTGCTCCCATTGTCCCTACTTAGCCTAACTCCGTCTAACTTCGCCGTCCTTCTGCTCCCATTGTCCCTACTTAGCCTAACTCCGTCTAACATCGCCGCACTTCTGCTCCCATTGTCCCTACTTAGCCTAACTCCGTCTAACTTCGCCGTACTTCTGCTCCCATTGTCCCTACTTAGCCTAACTCCGTCTAACTTCGCCGTCCTTCTGCTCCCATTGTCCCTACTTAGCCTAACTCCGTCTAACATCGCCGCACTTCTGCTCCCATTGTCCCTACTTAGCCTAACTCCGTCTAACTTCGCCGTACTTCTGCTCCCATTGTCCCTACTTAGCCTAACTCCGTCTAACTTCGCCGTACTTGGTGTCAGAAGTCCTGAGTTACGTGTAGAGTAAAGAGGTTAAGGCGTGATGGGGTTTTGATGGCCAAAGGAGGGTCATTGTTGGTGGAGTAATCGAGGTGTCACGACGTAGTTCGTGACAATAGTGCAATCAGCAAAGTACCATCTTTGCTGATTCTTCAATATCATTCTTTGGCTACATCGATTGCAGAGGAGACACGATCCATTAGCACCAGAGACCCTAGACTTCTACGAGACATCCATCGAGTTCGACCCAACCTGCGACCTAGTCGTCGTGTTTCCAGTACCGTTACAAGTTGAAGAATCAGCCTTACGCGCCTTGGGTCGAAGTGGAGAGTATTGCATGCTTACCAGAGGGAAAGCGCGGAAAATGATACCGGGAAAAGAGGAGTTGGAACAAGGGCTGGTCCCAGAGGTAGAAATGCCAACAAGTTCCTCAAGAAGTACTATTTCACATGATCTCACTTCTACCACCACTACCCCAGATCCGCTGAATGAATTATTGCAGCAGTCGTCACAATTATTAGCCATTATGACGATGCAACAAAAGGAACAAAATGCATTAAGGGAAGAACTGGCTACGATCAAGGCTGACCGACAGAACCAACAGCTACTCACCTCGAAAGGGGCAAGTTCGATCGAAATCGAAGAACACAAGCCGTGTTTGGAGCCAAAACTTACCAACAACGAACGAATAGGAAGAACCAGGTGTGCGGACCCACCTACTTTCAGTGGAGAACAAGGGGAATTGGACAACTTCCTTGCAGCATGCCACATGAACTTCGAATTCAAAGGGGCAGAGTACGCCACAGATCGCAGAAAAAGCCTGTTCATGTACGGTTATCTACGGGGTACCCCTCAAATGCTCTTAACTCCGGCCATAACCAACCCAAGTATATGGAATTCAACCGAATGGCTAGAGACATACGATAAATTCATTCAACACTTAAGAACACAATTCGGGGACAGCAACATGGCGGGTACCGCTATGCGGAAACTACAAGAGCTACGACAGACCGACACCGCAGCGGAATATTGTGCAAACTTCGAATTATGGTCAACTCATCTCGGAAAGGTACCCGATGCGATGAAAATCGCATCAGCCATACAGGGCCTGAAAGAAGAACTACTGAAGGTGGTAGTGGTGAATAACACCGACCCTCAAACCAAATCGGATTGGATCTACTTCAAGCAACATGTAATAGGAACCGAGGAGAATCAACGGATGGCTGAAACGATGATTGCAGCAAACCGATGGACTGCTAGGCGTAAAAATGAAACGACATGGACCCTCCCACGATCGAACTCGACACGATTGGATAGTAATCTTTCAAACCCTGTGCAGCAAACCCCGCATTCAGGTGGTAGAGGACCATTACCAGGTGGGAAACCGGGGATGATGAATTTTGGTCTACCAAATGACCCTCCGGTCACTTGGACAGAGGACGGAGGACGCCTCAGTGAGAACGAAATGACTTGGAGAAGGGAGAACCGACGCTGTCTCAAGTGTAGGAGCCCAGAACATTATGCCAATAACTGTCCAAATGGAGGAAACGCGAGGAACAACATTAGAGGATCCCCAAACCCGCATGGGTCACCAATTCCTAGTGGATTGAACTCAGTTCCAACTGGATCCAAAGGGCCATTAGTTCGAGGAATGGCGGTGACCTTTGAAGAAGAGGGAAATGACTACCTGGCCTAAGTGATGCGACCACTTGCGGCCAGGATCTAACAGAATCGCACAAAATTCAATTACCAATAGATCTTAGTAATGACTCGGCTATAATATACATAAAAATTCAGACAAAAGAAGATACCCTACGATTTGGAATGTTAATTGATACCGGGGCTACCGGAAGATACGTACAGCCGGCCTGTCCATTATGCCATCTATTCCCAAAGAGACAGTATCAGGAACCACGGAAGATCAGGTTCCTCGATGGAACAACCGCGACGTTAGTGACCGAGTATGTAGAAGCCGAATTGGATCTAGGAGAAGGACTCAAGATTGCGACTCGATTGGATGTGATGGCATACGAAGGCCCTGAGGTACTGGTGGGATTGGACTTCTTGAAACAGTTCAGGGCAAGGATCGATTGTGGAAAGGGATTGATCGAGTTCGACGGAGTCGGACAGGATAACGGTTGGAAGTATCCAAGATTGGAGGAAGGATTGGTAAGAGGAACAGCACTGGAAAAAGGAGAAGATGAGATGAGCGAAGAAGAGTTACGACAAGTCATACCGACACAATGGCACCAATACCTGGAGCTATTCAAAGTGGAACGAGCCAGAAAACTACCACCAAGAAGAGAATGTGATCACGAGATCGAATTGACCCCTGGAGCAGAACTAAAGCCAGGCCCAATATACCAACTGGATGAACATGGGGACGCATTCCTAAAGCAATGGATCAATGATGGTTTGACCAGCGGCCATTTACGAAGGAGTAAATCACCTTATGGATCTCCTGTATTCCTGGTTCCCAAAAAAGGGGTGATTCCCTACCGAGTGGTAACGGATTATCGGGCGCTTAACAAGGTAACCATCAAGGATTCATACCCAATGCCACTCATCTCGACACTACTCGATCGGCTTCAATTAGGAAGGATCTTCACTAAACTCGATTTGAAAGGAGCCTACCAGTTAGTCAGGATAAAGGAAGGAGATGAACATAAAGCTGCCTTACGGACAAGATATGGCAGTTTCGAGAGCACAGTCCTAAGGGATGGGTTGTGTAATGCACCAGCCACCTTTCAGAACTTTTTGCAAGACATGTTTCACGATCTACTTGACGAAGGGGTAGTAGTTTATATCGACGACATCACGGTATACTCCGACACGATCGAGAACCATCAGATAATTGTCCAAAAGGTGTTAGATCGATTACTTGAAAACGATTTAGTCGTCAGTCCGAGGAAATGTGAATGGAGTTCAAACGAAGTGAAGTTCCTGGGGTACGTAATAGGACATGAGCGGATCAAAATGGATCAAGAAAAGGTGAAAGCTATTCTAGAATGGGGAGAACCCATGACAGTCAGGGATACTCAAGTGTTCTTGGCTTTGCGAACTTCTATCGAAGGTTTATCAAGGGGTTTTCGCATATTGTGGGACCTCTCACACGATTGACCAGGAAAGATCACGCTTGGAACTGGACACAAGAATGCCAAAAGGCTTTTGACGACCTAAAGAAAACATTCACCACAGCACCAGTACTTCGACATTTTGATAGAACCCGACCAACTTGGATCAAAAGCGATGGATCCGACTGTGCAATAGGTGTGATAGCGTCTCAAAGATTCCCTCACCCATCAATAAAGGGGACCACCGAACTTCACCCAGTTGCATATTGGTCTCGAGCGATGACACCCTGTGAACTAAACTACACGGTAGGAGAGGAAGAATTATTAGCCATCGTGGACTGCTCGGTAGCCTGGAGACCCTATTTGGCAAACAGTAGTGATGTTATAAAAGTCATTACAGATCATAAGAACCTAGAATACTTCCAAAGCAAACGACAACTAAATCGAAGACAGAAGAGGTGGTTGGAAATATTAGGAGATTTCAACATAGAGATCACTTATCGACCAGGTAGCAAAAATGGGGGAGCAGATGCTCTAACTAGACGAGGAGATTATCACCCGGGAAGAGGGAGTAGCAAGGACCCAGACCTAAACAAAGGTAACTGGCTACAATTGCTACCGACACACGAACAAATTGGATCAAATTCAATGGACTCAGAATACAAAGGACCAAGACACATAGTAAGAGGAGCAATCCGGGAAGACTCATTATTCAGACTCATCAAGAACGGACTGAAAGACTCAGAAGACATAGCAAACATACAAAGACTAGGATTACAGATGACACAGACACAGAGCACACAGGACACACAGGACACACAGAAGACACAGAAGACACAGAAGACACAGAAGACACAAACTAGCGATGAGACACCAGTAGTATCATGGACACACAGCGGATTACTCCTGTACAAGAACAGGGTAGTTATACCGGAGGGACAAGCAAGATTGGAAGTAATGAAAGCAAGACACAATTCGATACTAGTGGGACACCCAGGAAGAGACAAGACTATCATACGGTCAAAGAAGACTACTACTGGCCACATCTGGACGAATATATTGCGAAATACGTAAAAGGATGTGAGATCTGTAACCGACATAAGACTCATCGACATCAGCCGTATGGACATCTAGTCTCTTTACCAGTACCCACACTCCCGTGGACAGATATCTCTATGGACATGGTGGGACCCCTACCAAAATCGACCGAGTTTGACGCAATTCTAGTGATAGTCAATCGACTAACCAAGATGGCTCGATTTATTCCATGTACAACCGGACTAACAGCAAACAAGGTGGCTGACATATACATCAAGGAGATCTTTTCAAAGCATGGAGTACCTCGAACAATCATATCAGACAGGGAAACTCAATTTACAGCTGAGATTTGGAAGGAAATATGTCAATTCCTGGGAATAAAAAACCTATATTCAACTGCATATCATCCCCAAACAGACGGACAGACTGAACGAGTAAATCAACAGATGGAAATCCTACTCGGGATGTATGTGAACTACAACATGGACAATTGGGATCAACTTCTACCAATTGCCGAGTTTGCTTATAACTGCTCTCCACATAGTAGTCACGGTTTGTGTCCATTCGAAGCATGTTACGGCTATGTGCCACACTACGACATCCATGCGCACGACATTCGATCAAAGTCGAACAAATTGGAGAAAAAATGGAAAGATATGGGAGAGTTACATACGGCTGTTCAAGAACAAGTCAGGATGGCTAACGAAATTAGTGGGGAATATTACAACAGGAGGCACAAAAGCATTCCAGAAGAATTCAGAGAGGGAGAACAGGTACTACTGAGTACAAAGTATCTTACGACGGAACGACCCAGTAGAAAATTAGAAGCAAAATACATTGGCCCTTTTAAGATCATAAGGAAGGTTGGGAAAAATGCTTTCGAATTGGATCTACCCCCATCAATGAAAGTGCACAATGTCTTCAATGTCACGCTGTTGGAACCATATCCTAGGGACATGATACCAGGTCGACAGATACAACCTCCACCACCTGTAGTAATAAACGGCCAGGAGGAATTCCATGTGGAAGTGATTGTGGACAGCAGAATTCGACGAGGAAAGGAAGAATTCAAGGTAAAATGGTTAGGATACACAGGGAATGCGGCCTATGACTGGGAACCACGAGAAAATGTAGAGGAGTTGGCCGTTTTTGGTGAATTTCTGGAAAAGAGGAAAAGGGACCCCAGAAGAAAGTGAGAATTCGATCAAGATCAACAAAGCTGGGTCGGAAATGAATGCATACACAGGAAATATAGCTACAAATAGAGAAACATAAACACACTAGAAGTTGGAGGCGGTAGAATTGGCTCGAGGAGGACGGGCCGAAGCGGGAATACGAATGACATTGCGGGGGAGAGGAGTATGGGGAGAAGAGGAGGGACCGGCGACTGGCTGAGAGGAACTCAATCCAGTAGGATCACCAGAGGAGGTGAGATGATCCAAGGTTTCGGAGGGAGAGGGAGGAGTATAATCGGAAGGAATGAGATGGAGAGAGTTGTAGAGACCCAGATGTACTGGGGGAAGAGGAAGGAGGAGGGAGGAGAAAAGATGAATGTAAGCGGAGAGTTGGGTAAGGGAAGAGGATTGATCCTGGGAAGAGAGGGATCAATATCGGGCCGAGACAGCACAGAGTCCGTGCTCCAGGACAAAGGTAACCTTGGAAGTGACAGTCTGGGCTCCGACAGTAATACCCTTTACATCAACATCGATCAAGTTCGAAGGAAGAAGATAGATACCTCGCGAAATTTGGACTCGGGATTGTTGGTTTTCACCGAACACTTTGAAGTTCCCTTCGCAGAGCACTCTCCACAAACACCACCAACTGAATTGCATCAATATCGAACAAGTAGAGTAGGAAGACTCACGAGGACCAATACAACCCACACGAAAATCTTCCCCACCATCAAGGCGACGCTGGCAATCGGAGCAAAGCTCACCCTCGAGACGGACAACAGCACCATTCTTGTTGCGAAGTGGCCAACCTTGGGCCAAACGATCGAGCTAACAGTTAGAAATCGGTAGAATTCGGAAGAGAAACGACTCACAGCATTCCTAAACCACTTAACAGTAGGATTGATGGCGCCAGTCTCGCGAAAACGATCAAGGGCTTCGTCTTTCAGAGCCGTACGAACAGAGGAGAAGGTCATTTTGGCCCAGAGAGTAGCTGACGGGTCAAAAACGCACAGAATTCTATAGGAATCTCACCAATTTCCGAGTCTTTTCGAGCGTCCAGAACCTTAACCAGTTCATCATTGACCGGAACCTTACGAGGGGCGTGAAAAATGATTTCGAGTTCATGGGGAACCTCGACAAGTCCCTCTGAATAATCAGAAGGTGGCACAGGGGACTTATTACCAGGAGAATTTTGATTCTCAACGATGGTGCCGTGTTCGGATTCGACAGACTTGGCGGGAGATGGGTTCTCACCAGTGGCAGATGGTCCAGCACCCCCTTCGAAGTCGATATATTGCTCGATGACCTCGTCATCGAGAAGGGACGATTGTTGATTGCGAGAAGGACCGGATTGATATCGATCCTTAATGGTGTCGAGAGCTCTTCGAGACGCATCAACCAATGGAGGTTGAGAGAGAACAGGCGCTTGGGAAGTAAATCTCATTCTTTTTGTTTGACGCATGAGAAGCTCGGGGTCCACGTCAGGTAGGATTGCCATAGTAGATGCTCGAGTTCGACGGGAGGGGGTAGAAGGAGACAACTAATCTCGTCAGCCAGTGAGAAATGGGAGGATATACATCGAATTCGAAAGGAATTGCTTACAGTACGCTTAGACATGCTCACAGGCAGGTCAGAGTTGGAAGGATACTCTAAGAGATAAGTAAGATATGGATGGATAATGATAGATAAGTAAAAAGAACGACGAACAAGAGGAAAAGAAGGAATGAGGAGGAAAGAAGAGAGAGAGGTGGGAAAGAGACTTGGTCAGTAATTTCTCGATCACATTGGAGGTCCGTGTGTCACGAACTACGTCGTGACACCTCGATTACTTGTCACGAGACCAACTAACCAGCACTGGGACGATATAACAGTGCCCTTCAGAGACAGTGGTCTAAACCACTGCGCTAAAAGGCCTATTAACCGGCGGTTACTGCATACCGCCGGTCGCTGGTTAAATACCCAACCCATCCTATCACTATCACTATCAAACTGTCTTGTCACTTCGTGACATTATGCCTTCCCTTTCAGCCCCATCTGGGGCCCCAACAGGGATGGGCACGATAGGCCGAAAACTTTCTCCGAGAGGGAGGTTTTCCAAGTAGGGACTGAGCACGACCCAGCCCACCCTGGGAGTCGAACCCAGGATCCTACCCGTAACCGCCGGTTAATCTGTCACGAGACCAACTAACCAGCATTGGGACGATATAACAGTGCCCTTCAGAGACAGTGGTCTAAACCACTGCGCTAAAAGGCCTATTAACCGGCGGTTACTCTGTCACGAGACCAACTAACCAGCACTGGGACGATATAACAGTGCCCTTCAGAGACAGTGGTCTAAACCACTGCGCTAAAAGGCCTATTAACCGGCGGTTACTGCATACCGCCGGTCGCTGGTTAAATACCCAACCCATCCTATCACTATCACTATCAAACTGTCTTGTCACTTCGTGACATTACTCCACCAACAATGACCCTCCTTTGGCCATCAAAACCCCATCACGCCTTAACCTCTTTACTCTACACGTAACTCAGGACTTCTGACACCAAGTACGGCGAAGTTAGACGGAGTTAGGCTAAGTAGGGACAATGGGAGCAGAAGTACGGCGAAGTTAGACGGAGTTAGGCTAAGTAGGAACAATGGGAGCAGAAGTACGGCGAAGTTAGACGGGGTTAGGCTAAGTAGGGACAATGGGAGCAGAAGTGCGGCGATGTTAGGCGGAGTTAGGCTAAGTAGGGACAATGGGAGCAGAAGTGCGGCGATGTTAGGCGGAGTTAGTCGAAGGAGGAAGAGGATGGCCGAGGGCTCGGGGAAGTTGGACGAAGTGCGTTGAAGTACGTCAAAGCGCGAGAGGGTTGGATGAACGTCTAGGAGGAGTAGATAATATTAGTTGAGAAGATCGCTGAAGTTCTTCAGCGATCCTTGATTGTTGTCAGTAGTGAAAAACAGATAGAGATAGCTATATACAATTCGAGATACATCGCCATCAGTAGAACAAAACCCCAGTTAGAGTAACTACGCCCAAGTACGCCGTAGTTACACTCCTTTCGACGTCTGCGCCCTCTCGGTTGGGTGAGACTTCGACTCAGGAGCATCAAGTTAGCCGAGGTTCGTCGACCGTCGGTCTGCCAGAAGATAGTTGTTCGACGCCTGTGACACCGTGCGGGTGACGCGTTTCATGGCAACCGTCACACTAGCGTAGGTGTGACGTCAGGGCGCACCAAAGGTGTCTCAGAACAATCCATGTGAATCACTTGATTACAGGTTTCAGGATCCTCGGCGAGGATCCTTGAGACAGGGGGGGGAAACTTGTTACGGAGTAACAACAAATCGAGAGAACTCCATCGAGTTCGACGGATTAGGAAAGAGAACGGCGAGAGTTGGAGGCAGTGCTGCAGTAGGTAGGGACGGGTTTTCCCTTTTCGAGATTTCCCCACTGGGTTTGCTCAAAAGCGGTTTTTCACCTGTCCGAGTATGTACATAGACGCTTGCAGTAGGACTGAGAGGAGGACGCGGACTCTTGTAGATAGTATATAGTGCAATCAGCAAAGTACCAACTTTGCTGATTCTTCAATATCATTCTCTGGCTACATCGATTGCAGAGGAGACACGATCCATTAGCACCAGAGACCCTAGACTTCTACGAGACATCCATCGAGTTCGACCCAACCTGCGACCTAGTCGTCGTGTTTCCAGTACCGTTACAACTACTGACAACAATCAAGGATCGCTGAAGAAGTCCAGCGATCTGTGAACTATCTATACTTCCCCTCTCTTCTCATAGAACGTCCCTCAACTCCTGCACAGCCTCGTGCTCAGTCCTCTTCGCTCAACTTCGCCGTACCTCGCCATACCCCCGGTATCCTACTCT